TTTTAAAGTGCAGAAATTTTGTACATCTAAAGGAGTGTGCTTCTCGGTCTCTGTGTGAGTCTGTTCTCAGTTTTGCTCCCTGGCCTTTTCTTTGAAAAGAGCAACTTTAGACAGGCTTCTCCATGGTGCCTTGTCTGTTGCACCCCTCCGGAGCACAGAAATGGGGTGTTTGGACCCCCTTAAAAATCCAACTTCCATGCTTCTCCTCCTCTGAACTTTTCCTTCCTTAAATTGCTTTGAAATTTTAATCACACAGTTTCGCCATCTGCCGCTCCACCCCCAATCTTTGGATCCAGCCTGAAATGTGAGTGCTTTAATTTTTAAAAACAAAAATACATTGGGGGGGGGGAGCGGCTCTTGGAGCATCTTTTGATCCAGCCTGAAATGTGAGCATTTTAATTTTTTAAAATGAAAATACATAGGGGGGCAGATCTTGGAGCAAAACGTGAACCAGCCTGATAAGTGGGAGGAGGAAGAGAAGAAAAATCCCAATAAGAGAGTTTAACAGCTTTCTTGAAGATAAGGCATAGGAAATAGGAAACTGAAACATTTTTGCAAATAATTTTGAAGAGTTCTTGATTAAACAAGAGCGATATATAAATTGGTCCTCTATCTATCTATCTATCTATCTATCTATCTATCTATCTATCTATCTATCTATCTATCTATCTATCTATCTATCTATCTGTCTGTCTGTCTGTCTGTCTGTCTGCCTGTCTGCCTGTCTGCCTGTCTATCATCACCACAGTACGTATCTTACAATTACATGTTTTTATTAATAAATCTTCCACTTTCCGAAATTCCCCACTCCCCCAATTATTCATGCAGATCAAACAAGACTGGAGAAACAACAGGCAAAGCTAGATTTGATTTTCAGAACTTTGCAAAAAAAAATTTTTTAAGAGTCATCAGAATGCAGGGAGATTCTCCATTAGAAAACGGAACTCCGGAGCTCACGTGACTTTCTTTTTGGGAACACAAAGCTCATGACTCTGCCTCTGGGTGGGGAATCTGGGTTTGGAGTAGTAAAGGAGGTAACGTGGATGAGTTTACACTCCTCTCTAGGAACTACTGAGACCATAAAGATCCATCTTAGGTTTTCCTCTTCCTGACTCTTCGCCTTTTCCTCACAAGCTGGTCAGTTTGTTATCCTCTGTCTTCATTTTGTCGGAGGGCCCCTCGTCTGATGTGTCCACCACCAGGTTATCGTAAATATTTGGGGTCACTCTGCGGGAGGAAAAGAGAGGGAATAATGCCGAGTGGGATCACAGTAACGATGCTGGGAAAAGCGGAAGCCAGTAGGGAAAGAGGAAGACCTAATGGGAGACGGATCAACACCATAAAGGAAGCCACGACGTTTGAGTTCACCCAAGCTGAGCGGGGCTGTTAACGACAGGATTTTGGGGGTGGGGGGGTTCATTCATTCCTCAGTGGAATCGGAAAGTCCTTGGCAGTACAGAAAGATCTTTACCTGAGCTCCATGTTTTGCCTCTTTGCCTCATCGTCCTCATCGTCCTTCCTGTGGAGGAAGCAAGATCGTCGCGAGAATTATGAAGGGGGCAGATAGAGGTGGGGAAAATATCAAGGAGAAAAGCCCCACCCTGCTTTACCTGCGTTGCTAAACTTTGGACCCCGGGTGCTTTTTTCCCGTGCTTTCCAAACAGCCAGAAACTTTGCGAAACTGATTTTTAAATGATTAAAGGCAGGTCCTGCTCTTACATGTTGTTTAATTTTGGGGTAGGTGTTTTCTTACTTTTAAAAAAACCTGAAGTAGAACCTCTTGGTTAGGAGCAGTATACCTGAGGATACCAGTTACTGAGAAGAAGACAAACAACCAGTACCGAGGGATGTTTACCATGTTAAATGAGACGGGGGAGGAATATGTTTTGAATCCCCAGCAACCCCCACTGGGCAAGGCTGGCCCCATTTCTCTCCTCCTGCTGCCAAAATTTGACCTACCTCACAAGGCTGTCGGTCAGGATAAAGCACAGGTGTGTGGGGAGAAGTGACTTTATACCCCTGTCACAGCTGTCCCCAAATCGAAATGGTGGTGCTCTGGATTATTATGGGATGTGCAAGGGTGGTGGTCTCAGTTATGGATTTAAAGGTTTGGGAAGAGGGGGGGGGTTTAAAGTCCAGAGAAAGAATATTTTTTAAAAAAATAGAGACAGAAACATACCTCTTATTGGAGAAAAAGAAACGGTTGATGAGAGAGCCTACGAAGACCACCCCGAGGAAGCCCAGGACCGCTGCCAGCCCCACCAGCCACGGCTGCAGGGTGCTCGACCTGGCCGTGGTTCCGGTTCCACCTAAGCCACAGAAAGGACACCTTATGGAACCGAACCCGTCGCTCTCGGAAATGTTGTCTGCATGTTACCGAGCTGTCTCTAACGTGACCGGGAGCGCATCGTTGAGATTCAGACTCACACACACCCCCTTGGCGCGGTGGTTTTAGGCGTAAACACTGTGCCAGGTGGTTAAAAAATAGTTTTTGACGCCACCGATTAACTTATTTTCTTTAATCTGATTGCGGGTTTTGGGTGGGGGTAACAGCAAGAGCTATCCAGATTTGTCCCTTCGGTTTTGGGTGGGGGTAACAGCAAGAGCTATCTGGATTTGTCCCTTCGAACGGCAGAGCTGGAAGGGACCCCTATCAGTCATTCAGTCCGGCCCTTTCCAAAGAGGCCTGGGCGGGGGAATCGAACTCACCACCCCTGGCTCGGCAGCCAGAGACCCACACCTTTGACCTCTCCACGTTCCCTACATCCGTGGCCTCCTCAGACACCGGACGCTGCCTTCGGCTCCGAACCATTTTGTTTAAAAAAGGAGGGGGAAAGGTGCCTTCGGGGGTCGAACCCGCCCTTTGGGAGCAACGGTGGCCGTCTCCGGGGTTTAGAAATGGTTTCCTGGCGGGGAAATCTCCGAGGTGCCCTTATGTGTGGCCTGGCCTTTCTGAGCTCACACCGGTCCTTACCTTGGGCGTACAACCCAGGTGTGAAGACGAGACCAAGGAGGAGAGGCAGAGTCAAGATTGCTTCCATGATCCTTTTTCCGCTTGGTGTCCTAGTGTGGTTATGGGAATACTTTCCCCCTACCTGGCGTGCACCTGGCGCTCCGGCTCCCCTTCTCCTGAGAAACTGAGATGTGTTTTCTCCGTGCCACGGTCGACTCTGGACCTGGAGCCAAAGGGCGCTTTATCACACCTCATTAGTACAGTGTGGTGCACGGGGATGATTATGGAACAGCTTGGCCTTCACGTGGGACTGGGGTGTAACCCCATGGACTTGTTATCGGGGCCGCAGTGGGAGGGCAACAGCCACCCCTGGGAGCAGCTCTCACCCACCCGCTGGGTCCCAGCATGGAGAGGAGAGAAGGAATTAAATCGTAAGCTTGCAGGGTGATATTAACACCAGACATGAGCGATGTACTTTACTGTAAAAAAAAAAGAGAGAGAGAGAGAGGAAGAATTAGAATGGAATTAATCAATAAGAGCTTGGCAGCAGCTGGTCTCCCAGAAATAACTGTATATGTGTGGGGGGGAATCCAAGGTTAAAGGAAGAGTAGAAAACAATTGATTTTTTTATTCCAATTTGCTCTTTATTATCTAGGGTTTGTGATTAGAGCAGCTTCAGGAAGTCAAACAGGGGAAGCTTCAAGGAGTCAAACAGGGGAAGCTTCAGGGAATTAAACAGGGGAAGCTTCAGGGAATTAAACAGGGAAGCTTCAGGGAGTCAAACAGAGGAAGCTTCAAAGAGTGAAACAGGGGAAGCTTCAAGGAAACAAACAGGGAAGCTACAGGGAGTCAGGTGGGGAAGCATCAGGGAGCCAAAAAGTGGAAGCTTCAGGGAGTCAAATAGGGGAAGCTTTGGGGAGTCAAACAGGGAAGTGTCAGAGAGTCAAACAGAAGAAACTTCTGGGGTGCTTGAATAAAGTGGCTGGTGACGATCTTCATATAAGCCAGGGCTCTGATCTTCCCAACTCACACAGCAGAGGTCCAAAAAAATTATGTATTACTATTCTCCTTCTTTAGATCTAGTTGCCCTCCTCATGTGGGAATCCAGTCAGGTGGAAGATTTGATCATTGACATCCAAAAAGAGAGAGAGAAGGATGTTTCCAAAATTCACTGCTTTCTTGGCTCCCAAGGATCCGTGGGATTTTTTTCATTTGAGAAAGCCAATTGAGGGATAGTGCTGGAGGAAAGAATCCTAAACTCAATGGCACAACGCCAAAAGGGGGTCTCGAATGGAGGGGGAAGGTTATGGGACAGACGGAGCCGACACTGAGCAGGTGTCCATCCCGGGCAGGCTGTGGGAGTTGTGACCTTCTCGCACCCACATGAAAAGTCTTTCTTCCTGCCCATCCAGGGGATTCATGGAGGATCCGAGTTCGCACCCATCTGCTTCCTCCTCCAGCTTTTTCTTCTCTTCAACTTTGGGCCCAAAAGCCCAGTCTGAAAGATGAAAGAGTATTCGGTGATTGTGCCAAACAGAGCCCAGCGGGCCAGTATTACAAGCTTACAGCTATAAAATGCAAGTGGACTGTTCTGGAAAATACTGCAAAGCCATTCAGGGATAGTGCTGGAGGAAAGATCTGTAAACTTAGTTGCGGAAGCTTTTTATTATCTAGGATTTGTGATTGGAGCAGCTTCAGGAAGTCAAACGGGGAAGCTTCAGGGAATTAAACAGGGAAGCTTCAGGGAGTCAAACGAAAAATGGCAGGAACTCATGTTCGCGTCCCACTTTTTCTCAAAGGAGGGCATAAAGGGTAACTAGCTTTCATGGTGAAGGAGGAAAGACAGGGTAAAAATCAAATACATCAAATGTGTGAATCACATTGAATGGCATAGTGAGCAGGTCAATAGCAAAGCGAGCTCCTTTAAGAGAGAAAACTCTGTTTTATCCTAGCCTGAGTTTGCTGCAGCTCTGCCTGCTCCAAATGAGCTTACTTTTGCTTTGCGCCCAAGTCCTTGGAGAGTTAAGTGCAGGCGTGGCTTAGAACTCTGCTCAGGAAATGGAGTTTTGAAGAAAATGTGTGTCTGGAGGGAAAACATCATACTGGCAGGAAACACGCTTTTTCTAATGTGATTGTTAGAACGGACAAGAAGGATGAAGCACTCAAACTTGCCTGGCTATTTATTGGACTCATCAGGAATGAAAAGGTTATAAATTTTTAACCCATTCCCTGCCGTTCCGGTGTACTCACCAGCGAAGTCATGCACCAGATCATCGATGAGGTGGCCCACGATGGCGTAGGCCACCCCAAACACAATGATTATGGCCATCACCAGGTACAAGATGTACCGAGGCAGCCGGATGGCATCCAGAGCCGGGGGTGTGTAGTCCATGAAGGGGGCGCCCCCTTCGGTCTCCTCCGGGGACTGCATCAGGGCCAGACGTGGCCACCGCTCTGGATTGGGCCCACCAGGCAGACCAGAACCGCTCGAATCCAGAAAGGACCTTTTGGGGGAGGAAAAAAATCGCTACCCTGAATTTCACAAAGAGGTGAAATCCTTTTTTCTTCTAAGCAGAAAGTCCTAAATTCAAGTTCATTTCCTATGAAATAAAATCTCAGAAAGCAAGCTGAGAATGCTGAATTTCTGTACCTCCCCTTTTAAAAACCCAGTAAAAAAAAAAGCACTCAGTGCGTGCTCAGACGCCATAAACGCAGGCAACCACCTATTTCCGGCCTCGAGGCTCAATCTGAACAAATTATGCAATAAAGCTAGTGGCTTCTTGAGATGTAGGTTTTAGCACAGACAAACCTTCATGGACTCCAGCCTGTGCTGGATTCATTTCCGTAAAGAAATTTAAAAATGTCTTGGTAATGTGCCAATGAATTCAAAAAAAATTTTTGCCCCCTAAAAATTCCAAACTTTTTGGAGAAAATTAGACATTTAAAAACCCACCTCCTTGGTTAAATAGCCTCGGCAGGTTTTTAGGAAGGCTAGAAAACCCGAGAGACCGCTTTGAGGGCAAGAGGAAACAAAATGAATATTTGCATTGACTTCAACTTTGGGGGGGAAAGAGCGAAAATGCAAACCAGGTTCCCGCCCCCCGCCCCCCCGCTTTGAACTGAAGACCAAGCTCCAGGGCTTAATTCTGGATTTACTCACCCAGACACAGAATGTTGCGCGATTTCCAGAAGCCAAAACAGTCCAAGGTTACAGCTGGTCAAGAACTAACAGCGGACTTTTCCTGCCAACACTGTGGACAGGTGAGAAATTTGGGGGGTTCGGTTTGGTGGCTGACAAATGCGGCAACCCCCCAATTTTTCCTTAGAGAAACCCTCTCCGATCCAGCCAGGAGACGCTCCGCCAGGTTCCTTCCAGACCTCTGAGCTGAGCCCTAAATCGAGGAAACAGATGGCTTCGGATCCACGCGGGGACAAGCCCTGGGATTGGGGGGGGGGTCGGATTTAGGCATGTGCTGATCCGGAAATGGGGAGGGGCAAGACATTTTGGGTGGGTCTGGAGAGAAGATGAAAAACGGAACCACTATTTTAAGCCCACAATCCCACCTGTCGCTTCACCCGTGTGCCTATATTTGAAGGGGCTCAGATTTTTTGCTTTCTGCGCCGGCCCACCGAGAAATGCCCTTTAGACCACACACCATTACTTTCTTCAAAACTCCCAGGAAAACAAAACTCCCAGTCCCACATCTGGCAGCGTGGTATCACACCAGTTGTTATGTGCCATCAAGCCACTTCGTGGCAACCCGGTGAAGGAGCCGTCTCCAAAATGGCCAATCCTCCACAGAATTGCAAACTCAGAAGTCATGGTTTCCTTGAGGGAGTCCGTCCATTTCGTGCTTGGTCTTCCTCCTTTCCTGCAGGACTTCCACCTTTGCCAGCATTATGGTGTCTTCCAGGGAATCCTGCCTTCTCATGATGCACCCAGAGTATAAAACTGAGATCTTCCCAATTTTGGGAGGTTCTATTTCCAGGTCCCAACAGAAAGCTCATAATTCCCTGGGCACTGTGGGATATTTTTGTCCTCTCCTAAATCACAGACTCTTCCCCCCACCCAATGCGTCCTCAATCAGAGAGCAAACCAGCATCTTCCTCCCCTAAATCCAGGCTACCACCACCCGGCTCCTTCCCAACATATGTTAAAGCCCAGCAGGCCCGGGGCTGTTAATAGATTTATAAGAAACAAACAAACAAAAAATTGAAATCAAATTAAGAGGATTGCAGGAGATTGAGGTCTAAAGAGCTTTGGCAGAGAGAGAGGGCGCAGCCTGGGGGTTGGGGGTGAAAGCCGGCCTTCCTAGCCAAATGGATCCTGGAAAATATATATTTTTTTTTCTGCCAGGAATTAAACATTTTGAGAAGGATCAAGCAAAACCATCGGCCACGTCACAGCAGGGGAAAGATGAGCGCCCAGCTCATTTATCTCCCAAGATCAATCTGTGACTGTATTTAATGTTTGATGTTCCTTCTGTTGATCTCGAGAAAAAGGCAGGATTACTTGACATTGCCTTACAAGGAGAGAAGAGTGTTGTCCAGCTAGAGTTCTCCAAAATAACCCCAATCCTCGTGGTTGTGAATTAAGATGATTTCAACAGAATACAAGGAAGCCTCTTATACTGAATTGGAACTGGGGTCCGACAAATTGAGAGGAGGGCAATAAGGATGATCTGGTGATTTGAAACCAAACTGGGCATGTTTCGCTTTGAGAAAAGACGACAAAGGGGTGACAGCAGAGCCTTTTTCAAAGACTTCAAAGGTATAACTACACAGGAGTGGCAGGATCTGTCCCCCATCATCCCAGCATGCCGGACATGTAAGAATAAACTCAAGCAACAGTTCTTCACTGTTTGAGCAGTACGACGACAGGACCCCTGACCTTGAGAGGTGGTGAGCCCTCCAACACTGGAGCCATTCAAGAGAAACGTAAGACAACCACCCAGCAGAGACCCTTTGATTGGTATTCCTGCATCAAGCAGCGGGTTGGACTTGATGACCTCAGGGGACCCTTCCAACTCCACTATTCTGTGATTCTGTTTCTACAGAATTTTCTGGCCAGCTTGACCAAGGAACCGATGTGTTTGGGAATCCAAATCACACAACCGCATGGGGGCTGGACCCTGATGACCTCAGGGGACCCTTCCAACTCCACCATTCTGTGATTCTGTTTCTATAGAATTTTCTGGCCAGCTTGACCAAAAAACCGATGTGTTTGGGAATCCGAATCACACAACCGCGTGGGGGCTGGAGCCCGATTTCCTGCAGACCTGCCCCAGCACAGACACTGCCTGTATCTCTGCTACCTCTCTAGAGCGACCCTCCCCCCGTTTCTTCCCAGGCCCAAAGAGAGCAGCGTTCTAAGTTCCTAGTCCCTCTTGTGTGAGAAATCAAGCCAAACACAGATCATAGAGAGACCCAGAAAGAAAGCATCGGCCAACACAAGGCTGGGACTATTTGGGTCGACGGCCCAACCTTTTGCAAGGGACATGTTCCAAAATGAGAGACACAGGGGAATATTTTCTGTTGCTTTATAAATACAGAAAAAGGGCGAGAAGCAGGTCCCACAGCCCTAAGAAAAAGCAATTGGGTTCCCCCCCTTTCCAAAAACTGCAGGATCACCAACCCAACTCCAAAGTTCTCCAAAGCAGAAATATAACCCTTCCCGTCCTACTAGAGAAAGAAGCAGGTCATAAATGATCATCCAAGGCCAGCTGGTTTCCCCGGTTCCTGTTTCTCAGGGCTGGTATTGAAGATTCTCCCGAGATAAACAATGGTAAGAGTGGGGGGGGGGGCAAAACCAGGACAGTGGGGCCAGCCCCCTTTCAGCCTGAAGCCTTCAGCTGGCTCAGCCCGTTGGCGTACTGGAGTTCGGGGCTGTTCTCGTAGTCATACATGTCCAAGGCCACCTCGCAGCTCTCACGGACCACCCGCTCCTCATCCTGGGCGTACGTCTGCAGGGCGGCCAGGCAGGGGGCTTTGGCGATCGCGCCCAGAGCCTCGGCGCACTCGTGGCGCACCATGGGGCTCTCGGCCTGGCACTCCAGCGAGGCCGTCAGCTGCGGGACACTGGCCTCGTGCTGCATCTGGCCCAGGACGTAGGCGATCTCGTGGCGGAAGAGAGCGCTGCCACACCGCAGGCCTGGAGGGGAGGGAGAGAATAAATGAACTGGGGGCCACAACAATTCTCATCTTAAACGTCAGCTTCCTCTGTGTTTGTCTACCCTTGTTCCCCGGGCCGAGGAACCCCATCCCATTCTGAACCTGCCTGAGAGAATCCTGGTTTTTCCTCTTTCCTCCCCGTCGCTCTTTCCTTTCCTGCTGTGTCCCTCTGACAACCCAAATCACAGGGACCTTTTTATCGACATACCAAGCCCCTCATTGGTTTCACTGTTATTTCCATTCAACGTGGTCTACCTACGAGCCCTCCAGATGTTGTCACCGGTAGCTCGGCAACATATGGACGACCGCATTTTGCCAACCGGCTGTGCTTCCTCTCTCAGCCTGGCGGTTATGAGGATTAAAATGGGGGAAGAGAAGGACGTACTGGTCTTGCAGATAAAGGGGGTTCCTACTATATATCCCTTGTGGCTCAAAAGAGGAAAGCCACGATCTCTTCATGCCACAAATACAAAAGAATCGGTTTCAAGTCCTCCACGGATCCAGAAAAACATAGAAACCGCAAAAAGCAATCCATTGTGTGGTCTCTAGTGGCCAGTTTTGATAAATACGCCCTGGGCAATGTATGTCTATCAGGGAGGTGTTATTTAGTATTTTCCGGCAGTGGGTAAGTGAATCAGCAGATACTGATCCAGTGGATAAGGGGGTCCTGCTGTCATAAAAGAGACACAAACCCGGGCAGGAAATGATTCCGTCCCACGCTGTCGGGTGGGCGAATGAGGGGACTTCTGCTCACCGTCAGCGAGGGCCAGGACGGCAGCTTCTCCCCCAAGGTTACGCAGGGCAAACATGGCCCGGTAGCGGTCAAAGAGTGGCTTGGATTCGTCCAGCAGGGTCTGCCTCAGTTTCTCCACGTCCACCTCTTCTGCCGGGGGAGCCGGATCCACGGAGCAGTAGGGGTTGGCGGACGGCTCCTCCCTGTTCTCCTGAAGCCACTCGAGGCGCTTCACGGCCAGCTGGCAGGTCTCTGCAACCTGTGGTGGACGAGAAAGTGAAGCTATACGTCAGATGGCCTTTTACTCTTATTCATTCGGAACAGGGAACTTCCTGAGCCAGCCCGGCCAGAGAGACTGGCCTTGCCAAATTAAGCCTTCTCAGTCTATAAGCTTTATAAAGAAATAAAATTAAGTCTGTTTCAATGAACCAGCCACATAGAATCACAGAAACGTGGAGTTGGAAAGGGCCCTCTTAAGCCATCCAGTCCAACCCCCTGCTCAAGGCAGGAATTCAAGTCAAAGCAGATCAGACAGACGGCTGTCCAATTTCCTCTTGAAGGCGTCCAGGGATGGAGCACTCGACACCTCCTGAGGTCATGGGTTCTGTTGTCGTACTGCTCTAACAGTTAAGAATTTTTTCCTCATACTCAGCCGAAATCTGCCTTCCTGTCGCTGGCACCCATTCTGACATGTCCTGCACTCTGGGAGGATGGAGGACAGATCCTGCCCCAATTCTGTAGGACGCCCTTTCAAGTCTTTGCAAAATGCTCTCCTATCTCCCCTCCGTCTTCTTTTCTTGAGGCTTGTAAACATCTCCATTTCTTTCCAACTTTCTTCCTAGGACTTGGTTTCCAACCCCCTGATCATCCTTGCTGCACCTTCTCCAAACTTGCCCCAATTGGTCAGCATCCTTCTTGAACTGTGGTGTCCAGAACTGGACATGGGAGTCAAGATGACGCCTAACCAGTGCCAAAGAGAGGTGACCTAGCACCTCATGGTATCTGGAGACTATACTTCTGCTAATGCATCTTGAAATCGCATTGGCCTTTTTTGTAGTCATAAAGCACAGCATGCTAAATGCAAGATGCAGGAGCAGGGGGAAAACTCACGTGCTGAGAGAAACATGGCCGTTTCTCATTGAAGGATGCCCTGTTTCTAAATGTGTGTATCTTCCAGCTTGACTCTGAAACCATGCTCTCTCTGGGTGCCAATTTTGGCCAAAAGAGTAGGGGATAACAACGCTGCTAAAAGGCCTTCAACTCAATGCTGTCTGATGGATGGATCCGATCTCTATCCCGCCTCCCTTTCAAAATCTCAGGGTGGATCCTAACAGGACTGAATCAAAAGCATTTTAAAGCCCCTTCCATGAAGGAAGCACACGGCCTCTGCCTCTTGAAAGACCCATCCTCAGCCAGAATACTCAGGGACTACCCCTAAACTCATCTAAATAAAACAAATATTTTACCTCGACGATGGGATCATTGGAATATTGCTTCAGGACGTCCAGTACTTTGGGATTCCCAATCGCGCCTAAAGCTTCCCCTGTTGAAAGCAAAAGGGGAGTTAAAAAAAACACCTCAAGGAGACCAGAGCGGCAATGAGAGAAACTTCGGACACTCTTATAGGCATAATAGTGGGATTCTCCTAAATATGAGCAAGATCCTGTTGGGTTTTAACACACACAAGGGAACATCGGAAGTGTTCTCTGGGACATGGCTGGTCCCACGATTGTCTAAGGCACATAAAATGGCACACTTTGTGCAATTCCCCCGAAAATCGGTTCCTACAGCTGGAGACCAGCCTATATATTCCTACCTCTTGCTTTTCTGCTTCTGGGTCAGAGCAGCTGGACAGCGGACCCTCAAAAATAATACAAAATAGCTGCTTTAAACTGAGACATGACACAGCTGCTACCACATAACACCCACTGTGATGGCCTTGACTTAGTGCCACAATTGGGCTCCCGGGCACCTGACCTGTTCAAGTATATGTTGCCCATTAGGACAGTGAACGTATTGCTCAAAGATTTTTTTTATACAACTTAAGAGTTGTATCAAATTGATCAGTGACATGGCTCGGGCCTTGAAACAGAACGGAACCGGCTAATTTCACTCTCACTTTTCTGAAATGTAACAGAATTATTCTGCTTTCCTGAAACGTAACGGGACTATTCTGCTTTCCTGAAACACAACAGAATTACTCTGCTTTCCTTAAATACAACAGAATTATTCTTTCCTGAAACACAACAGAATTATTCTGCTTTCCTGAAACGCAATAGAATTATTCTGCTTTCCTGAAATGCAACAGAATTATTCTGCTTTCCTGACAGAATTATTCTGCTTTCATGAAACACGACGGAATTATTCTGCTTTCCTGAAACGCAACAGAATTACTCTGCTTCCTGAAACGCAACAGAATTATTCTGCTTTCCTGACAAAATTATTCTGCGTTCCTGAAACGCAACAGAATTATTCTGCTATTACACCTTTTGTAAAATGGAAAATAATTACTTCACCTTCCTCAAGAGATGAAAACATGACTCTGTTTCTTTCCATGTTCCCCAAAATGGAATGAAACGGCACCCTGAAATGGCTGAAATGGAAGCGCATGGAAGGAAATTGAATTCCACCCAACGTCAAAGGGTGCTGGACAAGCCGTTGGGGCTGATTCTGTCCCCGTTTCCATTGCACCTACGGCACCTTCTTTTACCTGCTTCATGTCGGACCATGGGTTCCTGGCTTGTGTCTTGCAGGACTTCCACCAGCACGGGGATGGCGCTTTCGTCCCGCATCTGGCCCAGGCAGTAGGCCAGCTCGTGCTTGAGCAGGGCAGAGTCATCCCTGAAACCTTTGCTGATCCATTCCACGGCTGCGGCACCCCCAAAGTTGCGTAGGGTGAAGAGGGCCCGGAAGCGGGCCTTCAGGGGCCAGCTGGCATCCACAAGGATGCGGCCGATCTGCTCCACTTCCTTCTCCGTCACCATGATGTCTGGGTGGGAAGACCCAAAGGGAAGATGGAGGTGCCGGGTTCAAAACTCAGAAGGGACCTAAAGAGGCAGTGGAAATGAAAGAGATTGCCGAGGTTTTAATGGGCTTTTCAAAGGCTTTTTTACTTAGAAGAACACCGATGATGAAGTATGGGATTCTCAGATTTCTTAGATCTTGTAATTCTCCGTCCTGGGAATTACACTTGACAAACCAGCACCTAACTGTGGCTCGCATGGGGAAAAGGCCTGAACTGGAAGGCTCTGAGGCCTAGCTAGGCCTAGCTCCACCCAAGCTTCCTGTTCCTGCCCCAGTGTTTCCTGGGAAGCTTTCCTTCCGAATATGAAGCTAGGCAGAGCTAGGCCTAGTGCTGCTCAAGCTTCCTATTCCTGCCCCAGTGCTACCTGGGAATCTTTCTTTCTGAACAGAAAGCTAGGCCTAGCTTGGCCTCAAAGGCTTCCAGGCGAGCCGCATCTGGGTGGCGGTCATGTCCATGTCCCCAGAAGATGGGAAACCTCTTCGGAGTAGAAAATCCTGGAAGTAAATCGGAATCAACTGGACAGCACACAATGATTATTGCTTACACACTGAACTCAGGTGCAACTCCCGTTGTGTCTGGACAGCACACAATGATTATTGCTTACAAACTGAACTCAGGTGCAACTCCCATTGTGTAGCAACCCGAAGATGACACGACTGTATTTGAACAAGTGTAGATGGTTCTACATGAAAAATAAAAATAAAACATCCTCTGAAAATAAGCCCTAATGTGGCATGTGTTTTTTTGAGTAAAAAGTTAATATAAGAACCTGTCTTATTTTCGGGGAAGCACAGTATATGTGATTATTTTTATTAAACATGTGTTACTATATATGTTGCGTGTGTGTGTGTGATTATTTTTATTAAACATGTGTTACTATATGTGTGTGTGTGTGTACTATATATGTATATGTATATATAAAAGATACATGTAAGCTTACAGAAACGTATGATGTCTAAATCTGAACTGATACATTTAAATCTATATAAATACAAGTAGGCAAATATATGTAAATAAAATTAGATAATTATCGCATCTACAACCAAATGTGTAAATATGTAAATCAGGGCGAAGGCACACCCTGCTCCCCCCCCCGCCTCACCGAGGATGCTCACCTGCCCTCTCCCATCCCGTCTCCATGGAAACAGGGAGGCAACTAGCTCCCCCTCCCCTTTGGACCCACTCACCCGAAACCCACACGGCGCCATGCATCTTCCCGCGCCTGCGCACTCACAGCCCCAGCCTCTTTCCCCTTCTCTGCGCCTGCGCGCTCACTTCCCACAGCTCTCGCGCTTCCGTCGAGAGCCTTGGCGCCTGCGCAGTCGCGGCCCAGCTGGCGGAAATCAAGGGGCGGGCCGAACCAAATGAGCGTGTGTGGGGGTTACGTGAATAAAAACCGTCACCCCTTTCCCCTCTTCAAAGGAAAAAAAATCAGAAAGAGAAAAGTAAAGGCGACCAGCCGAGCGCTTCTAGAAGCAGCTTGCCTCAAAATGGTAGCTTTCCTTTTCACTCCCTCCGCGCGGCGCCCGAAATGGACGAGCCCTGAGCGAAGAAAAGGATGAGAGCATATTGAATAAAGCGCATGCGCATCGACACGGAGACGCCGGCGCCGTGCTTTCCGCCAGGCGCACGCTAGTCGTATAGCCATAGACTTAATGTTTTAGAACGTTTTCTGTGGCACTGTTGTTATATTCCGGGTTCGCTCACAAATTCCCTCCCCCGCAGCATAAACTTTCTCATTCTTATTTTTAGAATGAAATAAATTTGCTTTTTAAATATTAGCTAGGATTTTGCCATTCCGTAGGACATTGGACTGAGGGTCCAGCAATTCCTGTGTTCCGGGGTGTATATTTTGGCATGTTGAGATATACTCTGATGCCATACAATGAAATCCTACGAATATCCTCGAGGGTCAGAAAGACAAACCGGTGGGTCCTACATCAAATCGAGCCTGAACTCTCTCGGGAGGCAGCAGTGCTTGAAACGGAGACTCTCCTCTTTTGGGACCATCATGAGAAGGCAGGATTCTCCAGAAAAGACCATCCTGCTGGGAAAGTTGGAAAGCAGCAGGAAGAGAGGAAGATCCTAATGTGAGATGAAGCAACTCCATCAAGGAAACCCAAGTTTTTTGCATTTGCAGAAGCTGAGCCGGGCGGTGGACAACAAGATATTTTGAAGATTGCTCCTTCATGGGGTCATCATAAACCCACAAACACCACCGTCAGATCAAATCAAACCAAATAAATGAATAATTCCTTATCACATCAGGATGTCATGCTTTGGGCACATCCCAAGAAGATAAGATTCATCAGTAAAGACAATCATGCTGGGAGAGCAGTAGAAAAAGAGGAAGACCCCAATGGGAGTCAGCGCAGTCGTCCCCAACCTTGGGCCTCCAGATGTTCTTGGACTACAACTCCCAGAAGCCTTCACCACCACTTCTAGCCAGGATTTCTGGGAGTTGAAGTCCAAGAGAACATCTGGAGGCCCGAGGTTGGGGAACCACTGCCCTAAAGGAAGCCACAACTTTTTCGCATTTGCCAAAGCTGGCCGGGGCTGCAGAGGACCGCTTTTGGACAGATGGGTGAACAATGGCAGCTTGGACACAAGACACAGAGACCCCCTCTTCTCATTTTGTTTTATTTTATTTAACTGTTAACAAAATATTTGTATAGAGCCCCAAAGTTTCAAAATAGTGCAAAACACCTGTCATGCATCCTACAGTTGTTTGGAACCAATCCACTTCAGGTACATTTTATGTACAGAACAGACGACCAAACGGCTGGGGGTGGGGGGGGGAAGGATCACATCTGTGCTACACAAGTAGGACCTGATGGTTTTAAGGGTTTGGTTCATTTCCCCCGCTTCCTACATTTGTTGAATTAGTTCTTGCTTTTAAAAATAATTTTTGTCAATTTCAACCACATGCCAAACATAAATTAGGGAGCATATCAGTTTGGACTGGCGGGGCAGATTGGCGGGGGGAAGGGGGGGACCCCGGGGATCCCATTTTGTGTGGGGCAATGGGTCTCATCCTGCGGTCTAGGATGAAGGATGGGATGTGAAGTCCATTTGTGTAGAAGTGGCTCGGGAATCTTGGAAAATGTACACTGGAAACAGCATTGCAGGCTCCGGATGCATCCAGACGACACGCTGCTCCTGAATTTATCTGGCTTTTCCCACATTAATTTTATGGGGCGTCTTTCTTCCTTTCTCCCCATAGTTTTTTTTTTCTGCCTTTTTCCTTCCCACCGAAAGTCTGTTAAATTCGGGGTAAGATGCAAAATGGACAGAGTGTCTTTTTATTAAATAAAGTTGAAAAGTATCTTAACTCCAATGCACCCCCATATTCTGTTTTATTTTCCCTATCAATTCAGCTTTAATCTCTTTCAATTTTCTGATCAACACAGTTTGAATTTGATTTACTTTCCCATAAATACAGTTCAAATCCGCTTTAATTTTCCACTAACATAGTTTGGATCTCTTTCCAACCAATACAGTTTGCATCTGTTTTTTAATTTTCCAGTCAATACACAGTTTGCATCTGTTCTCATTTTCCAACAAATGCAGCTTGAATCTGTTCTAATGTTCTGATCAATGCACTTTAAATCTGTTTCCTTTTTCCAGTGAATGCAACTTGAATCTCTTTCTTTTTTCCAACGTTTTCCAGTTTAAATCTGCACAAATTCTTCCTAGTAATGGCATAAAAAAGAAACACACAAAAAATGGTGTATTGCACCCCTGTCTGTGTAAAAACATTCAACTCACATTCTGATGTTTTGGTCCCAGGCATGAAAATATAGATATATTAAAGACATAGTTTATTATTTTCTAAGGACATGGAGTGTAGAAAGGAGAGAGGGAGAAAAGAGAGGCTAAGGGGGCTTTGAGAGAATGCCATGAAAAGGAAGAGGGCCTGGAATTGTATATTGTTCGGATGAGATGAACTAAGGAAGGAGATTGAAAGGAGGTTAAATCATTTCAGAGCTGAGAAAAGACATTTGTCTCCCAAATGCTACACACTTCAATTGGCCGAAACAGTTATTTCTCCTTCCTTTTGAATCAAGGATGAATTGAGGATGATTCCCAGGAATTTCACCAAAGATTTTTTTTTAAAAAATAATCATTTATGGTTCGGATGAAAAGCCGGAGCGGATCCGTTAGCCCTTCCCAGCCCTGTATCAGAGCGGCCCCCCCCCAGCCATCACTGAGTAGTGATGGGAAGGGCGTCTTTCTCTCTGCTTGGAACTTGGTGGAGAGGTCGGCAAGAACAGCCCACGAGGTTGAATTTTAGGGGAGAGTTCCCCGATTTATCTGGCTTACCAGGAGAGTTCCCCGATTTTTCTGGCTTACCCAATTTCTATCTTCCATGAGTTTCTGGAAGCTTCCTTGTCCTCCTCAAAAAATCCCCCAAAGGAGATTAGCAGACCTTTAGTTCTGCCCCCTGTTAAATTAAATTAAATATGGGCTCCCACACTCCCCTGGCGCTTTTTAACGGCATGGGGTTTACCAGCCCTTTTTTTGGGGGGGGTGCTGGGAATACTGAGAGACATTGGCACAGATGGAAATCCATCCGCTTAGCCCCCCCTTCAAAAGAGTTAATGGATCCACTCCGGCTTTTCATCGGAACCCCCAGATCAGCAGGACGGACTGTTTCTAGATCTACTTCGACTCAGTGAGACACAGTTGCTCAGTGGGCAGAGTCGCCCCTTCGCTGGAACTCATCGCTGGAGTTTTAGTCTCTGGAAGGCTGAATGAAGAAAGGATCAGACTTTAAAACAGTAGAAAAATGGTTTTCTTAGCTGAAGATGACTGTTCCTTATGGGGGGGGGGACACCCCTGAACCCTTCCCTTTTCTTTGGTTCAGACTACACTCCCTTTCAGCCAGAGTTTGGATAGTCCCTTTTAAATATACATTTGGCTCTCTTTCTTGGAGCCTGGGAAAATTTGTGCCAATGACTACAATTCCCAGGATCCCCTACTGATGCTAGCCAAGGGGAACTCTGCAAATGGTCACTTCAGGAAAGGAACTTGGCCGAACTTTGGGTTAGCGTTTCTGAGGGTTTTTTCAAAGCTTTGTTGACACTGGAGTTACAATTTTTTTGAGTAACTCTTTTCTTTCCAGGCTCCCAAATGTAACTAAAAGGATTTTTCAAGTTAATTTAGAAAACAACAATAACATAAATATGGATGTAGCAGCATGAGGCACAGGACAAGCCAACACTAGGGACAGTGTGGTGTTCCTCCTCCCTCATAAAATGAGGCCGTAGACCCATAACTATTGAAAGTAACTTAAATAGTTACTATTACGTTGCAAAAGGAAGGTAGCTCTCTCTTCCATTTGCAATGCATTCCAGGGCCCTTCCAGCAGAGTATTTGTTTTCTTTCAAGTACTGGGTTCTAAATTCTTCTTATGACTACAGTAAGCCCCCCATATCTTCAGGGGATCGGTTCCAAGATTCGCCCCGTGGATGCAGAAAAATGCAGATAACAATGAACCCGATACATAACATGGTCTCTGTCTCCCTCTAGTGCCCAGTTCTGGTCACTACATCATTAGAAATATATATACTTCTAGGATTATTCTTTTAATTTTTTGGACAGCGGATAAGTGAATCAGTGGATACTGATCCTGCTGATGCCACTGCCCCCCTCTTGATTTAGGCCCCTTTTTGGTTCCTTTTGGCGGTATGGTTGATTAGTCCTTTCATTCTCTGGCTCCCTCTAGTGCCCAGTTCTGGTCACTTCATCATTAGAAATATATATATTTCTAGGATTATTCTTTTAATATTTTTGGACAGCGGATACGTGAATCAGCGGATACTGATCCTGCTGATGCCACTGCCTCCCTCTTGATTTTGGCCCCTTTTTGGTTCCTTTTGGCGGCATGGTTGATTAGTCCTTTCACCTGGCATGGAATTCTGCCCTTTCCATGTCCGCAGGGCGCCTCCTGCTGAAACCTTTCAATGAGTGCTCAACGGACACTGGAAAGGAAGGGATGAAAATAAAAACCTCTTCCCAAAAGTGGATGTCTTTAAAAGATTTCTTGAAGATTTCTTAAAGAGGCTTTCTCACATGGCTTCCAGGAGCAGAGAAAGAAAAGTTCGGTTTCAAATCCGGGTTCATGCCAGGCTCTTTGCGAACCAGATGGGAGAAACGGGGGAAAGAAACCAGGGTTCCGTGTGCAAGCGCCTTCCGTGGCACTTTTAACTTTTGAAAAATGGGTCTGTTTGTCAGCCATGTGTTTCCTTCCTGACTCGATTCTACCCATCGAGAGGTGAGGGGCAGCCCCCTCTCTCCCTTCTGCCCCATTGTGGCTTGGCTGTGGAGACAGGGGAGTGCAGGAATTTGGCCACATGAATACATTTGGGAAGGTATGTCGGCAGGTGTTCCTTGGCAGTGAGAGAAAATCTCCCAAATTAAGGGGGTGAGGGTTTGGCAGGGAGGTTTGAAAACTCTATGGCTTTGACATGGCTGTAAAAAACCAGGAAGAAGTGAGGAAGGAAGGGGAGGGTATTTCTAGTTGATTGTGGGAGAAGGTGGGCCACGAACTCACGGCCACGCAGAAGGGTGGCTTAGCTGGTGCTGCCCTCTTCGGCTGAGCGTGTGTCGGACTTCAGCTTGACAAACTCCTTGGCCACTTCGTCATTGTTGCGCTGGGAGAGGATGCGCAGCACGGTGAGCCCCGTGTCATCCATGTGGATGCGCCGGCCCAGCGGCAGCCAGCAGGCGCAGCTGCCACGTTGCATCATGTCCTTCAGCTGCAGGATGGCAATGCCCACCGTTCGGTCTTCCCGGGCGAAGCAGTAGTCTTTGACGCACACCTGGAGTTCGTAACATTCGGGACCTGTCTCTGAACCCAAGGTGCTGCGAGGACCAAGAAGAAAATAGAAAAAAAAACAGGGCAGTCAGAAACAACTGAAGAGGAAACGAGAGAAAAACGGGACAGTCAGAAAATATTGGGGAGGAAACGAGAGAAAAATGGGACAAAGCAGAAACAAAGGGAGGAAACGAGAAAACTGGGACAATCAAAAACAACGGGAGGAAACAAGAGAAAAATGGGACAATCAGAAAAAAACGAGAGGAAACAAGAGAAAAATGGGACAATCAGAAAAAAACGAGAGGAAACAAGAGAAAAATGGGACAATCAGAAAAAAACGAGAGGAAACAAGAGAAAAATGGGACAATCAGAAAAAAACGAGAGGAAACAAGAGAAAAATGGGACAATCAGAAAAAAACGAGAGGAAACAAGAGAAAAATGGGACAATCAGAAACAAAGGGAGAATGGACAATCAGGAACAACGGGAGGAAACGAGAGAAAAACGGGATAATCAGAAACAAAGGGAGGAAACAAGAGAAAAATGGGACAATCAGAAAAAAACGAGAGGAAACAAGAGAAAAATGGGACAATCAGAAAAAAGGGAGGAAACAAGAGAAACTTGGGACAATCAGAAACAACGGGAGGAAACAAGAGAATAATGGGACAATCATAAACAACGGGAGGAAACAAGAGAAAATGGGACAATCAGAAACAATGGGAGGAAACAAGAGAAAAATGGGATAATCAGAATTACTGGGAGAAAATGAGAGAAATGGGAGAATCAGAAACAACGGGAAGAAACAAGAGAAAAATGGGACAATCATAAAAAAGCAAGAAAACAAGAGAAAAACAGGACAATCAGAAACAACGGGAGGAAACAAGAGAAAAATGGGAGAATCAGAAACAAAGGGAGAATGGACAATCAGAAACAACAGGTGGAAACAAGAGAAAAATGGGACAATCAAAAATGCTCAGGAAGGAAACAAGATAAAAACAAGTCAGTCAGAAACGCTCAAGATGGAAACGAGAGAAAAACAGGGCAATCATAAACAACCAGGAAGGAAACAAGAGAGAAAACAGAACAGTCAGAAACAACAGGGAAGGTCTGGGTGTCTCGCTCCATCAGAAGAAATACTGGAATATATTTTCCTCTCGGTGAAGATGGGGATTCTTATCAGAATGCCCTGAAGTTCAGAGTCTCAGAGCAAACTCTGTGATTTGAGATGCCACAACGATAGAAACCTGCCACAGTCCGAGGCGGAAAGGGGAAAACGGAAAAACAACTCACAACTGGACGCTCTCGTTGTATTTTGGGGACCAGCTGTTGTTCTTCGACTTGGTGGCAAACTTTCTCTTCTTGTCGCTGAGATGAGGCCCAATGATGTTGACTTCGATGAACGGCCGGAAGATGCCAGACGTTTGCCACTTCAGGTCATTGGCAGCCACCACTTTCGGAAGAAGAAAAGGGGGAGAAACAGGCATGAACGCAATTCTGAGGCGACCCTCGCCTTTGCCCAAATCTACTCTAAATATTTCAGGGGGTTGGAAGCTATTCGCAACCATAAATCTTCACGATGCCTTATGAGGTAGGTGTTTGCTGTAATCCACATGTTTCAGCATCCATGAGGGGCTTGGGACCCACTGGATTCTACGGTATTTATATTCTTCTTTTTCTCCCAATGGGAAAGCCAATATGCGTCCCAAAGAATGAAAACTACGCCATGCTCTTAGTTCCAAATGCCATAAGAAACCATGCTGGGGGGGGGAGCACAAGCCGTTTCAAAGTAGGGGTTATTATTAGCAAGTAACTAATTACTGGTAAATAGTTCTTTCCCTGCTGTGGGCTGGTTACTACATCTGTAAATTCAGCTTTCCTCCACCTCCATCATCATAATGGCCCTGGAATAATTCTTTGCAATCAAAGTTATGCTTCCACACTGACCTTTGACTGTCACCTTGTGTTCCCCTGTGCCCGGGTGGGTGAAGAGTTCCACGTGGATTGAGACTTCCCCAACCGGATCATCCACTCCGGAACCTATGTGCCAAAGATAGCCCCCCCCCAAATGCAGATCAAGAAGTCAGCTGGCTCATTGATCCCCCCCAACTCACCAGCCCCAGACAACTTCTAGACTCCGTAAACAACGACTCCGCACCACTCCGCCACAGCTGGTGTGCCTTTTGTGGGCGAGCCAGCTGGGGAGCATGGGTGGTGTAGTCCACCAGAAGTCTGGAAGGCTGTCCTGCTCCCACCGACATGAGGATGGACCCAGGGCATCCGCTTGCTATGGAACGTTGCTCATTTCCGGGCACACTCTGGTTTTTAGTTTTAATGGTTCATTCTTTGGTCCAAGATGGGCCGGAGCTGTAGATAGTGTGATTCGTTATCCACACCCCCCCCCGCCGCCTTCCCGGGAAATGAATGAATTCATTGATTAATCAGCCCGGAGTTCCAAGGTCACAAGCTTCCGCCGCCTGAGCCACCCACAGTGTAGGTAGACCGATCCTTTGTGGTGCCGATCACAGGCTTATCCTTTTGCCTCCCTGGAGGTTTTCCACCCCTGGCCCCCCGCCCTTCCAAAAAGAAAAAGAAAAGCACGGGTCACCATTCCACAGGCTCCCTCTGCTCTAGATGTCCACATGCAGGAAAGGTAAGGTGGGGGGAAAGAGGGGGCAGGAGGGGGTGGCCCACGGTACGATCCCCTGGCTTGCACCTTTGGGCCAAGCCTAAGGAAAGAATAACTTTTCCAGTTCTTTAGAAGGGGTGGGTGGGTCTTTTGCAAAGTCAATGGCTCTCAATGGCCGGTGGCCGTAAAATGAGCCACTGTGAGCCATGGACTTTACAAAAACCCACCCTTGGTCTTTTGTAGAATCGCCTGGTTGGTACATAGAGATGAATGGCAGTTTCTGCTTCTTAGCTAGCCGATACCGACATGGGTTGACTTGTGCCAGCATTCACAAGTGACAAGATTTTGGAACAATAATGAATTTCTTTCAACAATGGGCTATCAGGGGTATATTGCTTCTTGATCTTCTCTTCTTTCAGAGAAACCTTCCTAGCTATTGACGGTTTCTAATTTTTATGTACTTCTCCTTCTTTTATTTCTAGCATTTGGAAATACAGACCCCCCCATCCGCGGATCAGTATCCACTGATTCACTTATCCGCTGTCTGAAAATATTAAACGGGAAATCCCTAGAAATACTATATTTCTAAAGATGAAGTTCCCAAAACTGGCCATTAGAAGGAGCCAGTGACCCTAGCATTCACTATTAAAATCGCAATCCCTGTTATCCACGTTTTTCAGCATTCTCCACGCATACAGGCGTCCTGTTGTACTCTTTCATTTATTGCTGCCATTTTATTGCCAGGGGTTTAATGCCACCTTAGCTGCACTTTGCAGGGCAGGCCCCCCTTGAGAGGATAATTGTTCCGAAGGGTAGCAAAGGGGGAAAAGAACATTTTAAAGGAAGGAAAGGAAAGGAAATAGACAACAGAAGGGGATTTTTTTCCGGATCTGCAGCCTTCCCACCCCCTACATGCTCCCATCTCCAGCATGCCTCGTTCCTTTCTTGATGTAAAAGGAAGAAAATCCATACACCCCATTCCCCCCCCCCCGACCCTATGTCCAGTGTCGCATGCTTGGATTGGCTTACAGTGGTGTAGTGGTATATCTGTAAACTGTGACAACTCCCCCCCTCCCCCCAGCCATCCAGTAAGGAGAGTCTGAAATTGCAGGCTTAACTGGATCAGGCCATAACCATAATGAAGGAGCAGGTGTTTTTTAAAGCCAACGGCTCACAATTACCCATTGTAATATAACAGGGGATCCCTTGCCATGAGCAAACAGCCGAGCTCGGAGGATGCAGGGAAGGCCAAGGGCGGTGGCGGGCGGTCCCTGCTCCCTAGCAGGGCCCAAGGACCGGATCCGGGGAGACCTTGTTCCACTACACCACTGCTCACTCCATCTGGACCACCAATGGGGAGGGGGCCTGAGGCTCAAAACAAACCAGCCGCTTTCGAGGGCTCAACGCAAAAGCATGGGTGCCAATCTCCTTGGTAGGAACCTGGTCCTTTTCTCCGCCTGGCGAGGTTTTAGTGCAAAAAGGGTCTCATTCTGATGCACTGGATGCAGTTGCACTAATGAAGCCGCAGCCTGTGGGGAAGGAGCGCCTGGGGATTGGGGGTCCCCCCCCAAAGTCCTCGGCCGGAAGGGAGAGGGGGAGCGATGGGGGCCACAAAACGGGCGGCTAAGGGGTGCTTCCCCGTCCGTGTCCCAATCCGAGGCTCAATCCGGGACTTCACTTAGCTCAGGCCAGGGCAAACCGAGGGGTGGGGGTGTCATGGGGGGGATCCGGAATGGGCGCATGTCAAGAAGGAGAAGCGGGTTTGGGATGATGGGATGGCACCTACCCTTCTCTGGACATGTCTCCTCACTAATGAGAGTAAACCTAATACCTTTTCCGCCATGGACTTATCATGGGGAAAGGGGTGCGAGAAAGAGAGGAAGAGGGAGCAGCCATGAGGAGCGGAGGCGGAAAGAAGGGGAGAAAGGCAGAGAAAGAAGAGGAAGAGCGAGGAAGGTGGGAAGACGGGGAGGGAAGGGGAAACGAAGGGGAAAGGAAAGAAGGAAGAAAGAAAGAAAGAAAGAAAGAAAGAAAGAACGAAAGGCGGAAAGGAAGAAAAGGAGGAGGAACAAACAAAAAGACAGAAAGAAAGGAAGAAAGAAAGTGATAAAAAGGAAGAAAAGAAGAATGTATGAATGAAAGGTAAAAAGGAAGAAGAATGAAAGATTAAAAGAAAGAATGGAAGGCGAAAAGAAGAAAAAACGAACGAAAGGCGAAAATGAAGAAACGAAGGAAGAGTGAATGAAAAGATAAAAAGGAAGAAAGAATGATAAAAAGGAAAAAAGAAGAATGTAGGAATGAAAGGTAGAAAAGGAAGATGAACATAAGGTAAAAAGGAAGAATGAAAGAAAGATTAAAAGAAAGAATGGAAGGTAAAAAAGAAAAAAAGGAAGAATAATGAAAGATTGAAAGAAAAAAGGGAATGGGGAAAAGAAAGAAAAGGAGAGAGAAAAAGTGAAAGAAATGTAGAAAGAAAATAAATGAAAGTAAAGGAGAAAGAAAGAATGAAAAATGAAATGTAAACAGACAAAGGGGGAGGGAACAAAGAAAAAAAGAAGGAAGGAAAGAGAAAAAAGAAGAGAGTCATTAAAGAAAAAGAGAAAGGTTAGAAGGAAAGTAGAAAAGAAACACAGAAAGAAGGAAGAAGAGAAAGGAAAAGAGGAAGGGGGAAAGAGAAAGAAAAGAAGGAAAAGAAAACAAAAGGAAGGAAGGAAGGTTGGTTAAATATATAAGGAAATGTAAGAGAAGGAAAATATGGCAGAGGAGATATGAAAAGAGGCAGGAGATGGAGAGAAAAGAGAAGACCAATCAGCACACTTACTGGCCCAAAAGAGAAAGCTGGAGAAGTCAAAAGATATATTACAAAGAAATAAAAGCACAAAACTCCAAGACGCAGGGCGGCAGAAAGGTCCCTTTGCTAGCTACGTCAGCCGCGTGCCTGAATCTCTAAATGGGCCGAGCCAACGGTCTCTGTTTTGCAACACCCATAGAAGAGAAAGCCATTCCCTGCTGCTGGGCCCAGGGTTATTAAGAATCCAAGGTAGAATTCTCCTGGACATGGAGGCTCCACCGAGCGACTACACACCCTGGTCTGGCCAGATCCCGAAACCCAAGGAAAGCCGACCGTCTCATAAACAGTTTTCGCCACGTTGCTTTCCTCTGGAGCGTGACTCCCATGGGTGGGCACAAGAGTCCCCCTTTCTCTAAGCTGTGAGCTGGAAGGCAGCCGGAAGGTTTCAGAGGTAGACTGCCCCTATAGAGGGAGGCTCTCTCCCAGTGGCCATTGAGTTAAGATGTCGCTTTCTGCCTACCGTAAAGAGCAGGAAGGGAAAGCCTGGGGGGGGGGGTTTAAACCACTCCCGTCCTGAGCTGTTCCCCACCCGGATGTTTCCTATCAAGGGTATCTGGCCCCGATCCGGCTCGGTAGAGGTCGCTTACCCTGAGCGGATTGTGTCTGGACAAAGGTTTTGATGAGCAGGTCGGTGGCCTGAGTGTAGAGCGACAGGGCGTAGCGGAGCGACTGAAGGTCCGGACTTTTCTCCAGGAACGTTTTCTTGAGGCCCACGCCTCCCGCGTGGAAGTATTGCTGACGGGAAAAACATGGAATATGGTTAGGTCTCCGGTTTATGAAAAGAGGAGGGGGAAGCTCAGAAACACGATGGTTTCAGGCTTCGAAACCTCAAACGGCCTTCCCTGCAGCCCATTCTACAGGTGATCTCGCTGACATTCATGCCACACTCTGATCACTGGACCAGACTTCCCCATAGTCTCAAATGTCTCAGGATTGTTTCGCAAAACACCCCCTTTAAAAAAAATCTTTGCCATCATCCTGGAGGTTAGGGGGAAAGGCTGTTGCGAGCCAGAGGGGTGCTCTTCTGGAGGTGGGCTGGAGAGGGATTCGAACCCAGAACCGCTTGACAACCTATCCACTGTCTCTCGATAGGAACCCTGAAGAAAAAAGCAATTCGTACAGAGATGGAGGCAGGCGCTTAAACTCAGCCATACGTCGGCTTGAATCCAGGGTGCAAGTGTGCACGGCCGTGCAAGGGGTACTTAGATACCGATCCTGCGTCATTGGGACACTGACTCCACTCTGGATTTGAGTCTGAACATTACACAAAAGTTCACTGCACCCCCAAATTAAGGTTCAGGGTCGTAAAGAGACCCATTTGGGTTTAACTGGACAGGACCCTGTCCAGGGTGCTGAACGTTGGAATCAGTTCAGGACCTTGGCCAGCTCCTCTTAAAGTTCAGACTCCTCTTAAAGTAGCCGCCCAGAGTGGTCAATTGAACAGATGGGCGGGATATAAGTAAGTAAGTAAGTAAGTAAGTAAGTAAGTAAGTAAGTAAGTAAGTAAGTAAGTAAGTAAGTAAGTAAGTAAGTAAGTAAGTAAGTAAGTAAGTAAATAAATAAATAAATAAATAAATTTAAAAAGCCAGAGTGAATGTCCTGCCTTTGTGTGTGTGTGTGTGTCTGTGTGTGTGTGTGTGTGTGTGTGTGTGTGTGTGTGAGAGAGAGAGAGAGAGAGAGAGAGAGAGAGAGAGAGAGAGAGAGAGAGAGTTTGTAATAATTCATTACCTTGATAGTGTCAAGTGCTAGTTCCACCACTGCACATTGTTTGGGAGTCAAACTTTTCGCTTCTTCACGCACCATGTGGTCCTAGAAGGGGGACAGCACACGTCCTTTGGTGGTTTAGACAACAACAGCAGCAGCAATATTCTTTCGCTCCGTGTTTTTTTTGGGGGGGGAGGTACCCTCAAAATTGGGAGGCTCTTACCTTGAGTTTTGAAAGCTGACCCAACTCCTTGGCTGCGTTGAAGATCATCTGTGTCCCCTGGAGAACAGGAAGGAAGGAAGGAAGGAAGGAAGGAAGGAAGGAGACAGGGAGAAATCAGGAAGGAAGGAAGGAATTTATTTAAAAATTTTCTCCCCGCCTTTTTCCTTCAAAAGGACCCAATGCAGTTTACATCATTGAAAGACAATATTTAAAGCCCTAAAAGGTCTGCTTGGCCAGGCAATAGGGGCAATCCATCAGAGTCTCCCTGCTGGCCCACGGATGAGGCCACAGGCCCATGTGGTCTCCGTGGCTCTAAGCCAACCTAGTCTTGTCTGCAAAATGGAAACAGTTCCTTCGTAGTCCCAGATGGTCTCATTTTTCGGAAAACCAGAGATTTCGATAGGTGCTGGAGAGAAAGGGAGATCTGATGTAGGAAACAGTTTTAAAAAGGCACCTGGTTTGTAGCCTGAGAACCCGTTTGTGTAAAAAGCTGATGGAGGGATGTTAAGAACCACCGCAATATATTGCAGCTTAGAAAGCTGCAGAAAGGAGACCCGGTTTGCAGCCTGGAAGAAGCGGAGCTTTTTAACCCAGAAAGTTCTCATTGCAAGGCTTTGAAATGGTGGAGGGGTCTGAATGAGGCCTGGTTTGCAGTCATAGTTTGCATAGCACCAAGCCCCTGGTTTGCAGTCAGCCGGGTCTGCAAACCGCTGGCTGCAAACCAGGTCCCATTCAGACCTTTCCAGCATGTCTCAGCCGTCAGATACATGTCAGGTCTGCACCTCCCTCTGAGAACAAAGGTTTCCAAATCTGGACACCTGGGTTTTTCTTGGGACTACACACCCCAGAATTCATAGCTAGTACGGCCAACGGCCAAGACGCCTGGGACCTGTAGTCCACGGATGTTCGGGAATATTAGAAACTGCTTTTCAAGGGTCTGCTGAGCAAATGAACACTGAAAGAGGCAAGCAGGAAGAAGCTGTTTCTCCTGCCGTGGCACATTTTTCACATTTGTTAGAATTTTTCCATAATTCAAGACTTGAGGAGGATGGATAAGAATTGTGTTCCACATCATTTTTGGTCCTGTGTAAAGGTCTTTGTGTTCAGAACAAGGGGAAAAAAAGAGGAAAAGCTCAGAATCCAACTTTTTAAAACAAGGGAGAGATGGAGGGATGTTAAGAACCACCACAATATATTTAATTTCTTAAAGGCACATTTTCAGCCTGTATTGTTCCCCTTCCAATCGGCACCAGCACAAAACATTCCTGGATTTCACAGCTCCCTACACAGATGAGAAACGGTGATGTTTAGCACAGTGTAAATCACAGTTTCTCCTTCTGGGTAGCCGTGCTTCATGTCCCGTTACTGGAGCCAAATTTCTGAGAAATAAAAGTTTGGCCCAAAATCCGGGGCGGAGGTGGGGTGGGGATGGAGCCAAAGACCTTGGCTGGCCTGGGGAGGGGGGGGTTCCCATCCCTAAAATTTCCCTCCTTAAAAAAAAACCATGAAAAGAAAGAAAAGGTAGTCTCAGCCCCTTCTCTGCCTTATTAAAAATCTCCCCAAGTCCTCTTACTGTCCAAACCTCATTGAGGACTAGCCACCTATGATGGCAACATGTTCCAGGCTGCAAAGTCTCCCTTTGTGCAGCGTGTTCATGGAACTACTACAGACCACACAGCACCTCCTGGAAAAACCAGATTTTTTTGAACCATGGGAAAAACGCCATCCTGATACCCCCCTCCCTGGTAGTTTTCCAGGAAAAAAGAGAAATCTCAGCATTTTCTTCTGTGTGACAGAGAACCCCCTGACTGTTATCTTCCTAAATCAGCCTTCCACAACCTGGCCCTGTCTCATCACCTTTGACCTTTGTCCTGGGGTTGGACCTGTTGTGGGGGGGTTGAACTGCCCATAAATATATGGACCTTGTTATGCCACGTGCTTTTAAGTTCTCCCTGACTTATGCCCTATGAATGAGTGCTCTCCAAAACCTCCTGTCCTCAACTGCACGGCTTGGCCTTTGCAAACTCAAATGTCGTAGCTTCCTTTAGGCAGTCAGTCCATCTCACATGCAGTCTTCCTCTTTCCCTGCTGCCTTCTGCCTCTCCCACCATGATGGTCTTTTCCAGAGAACTTTGAAAGCCATTGTGAATTCTCCATAATGGAAGGACCTCCGTTAGGGAAATGCTCAAATTCTCCTTGCTTCCAGAGCTTGGGGGAAGTCTGTCTATGTTCCTGGTGCAAAACACAGCCACAAAGTACAACCCATTGCCCTGGGCTACACCTGAACACAGACCTAATGCCTGTATTATGCCCAAATCCATATCATCATGCGAGCAGGGAACATGAATCCTGGAAACATCGCTGTCTGTACCCCCGAAGGCTTAAGATGCCCATGCCTGTACTAGTCATAGCAGCAAAGTTCTGGACTGAGCAACAGCTAACAAACACCAGCTGAAGCATTTTGTGGAAACCCCAAGCTTGCTTCGTTAGGACAGTAGGACACACACACCCCCATATCCACGGGAGATTGGTTCCAAGCTTCCTTGTAGATGCTGAAAACTATAAATAAATAGCAAATGCTATACTGTACATAGCACAGTAAAAGGGGGAGGGGAATTTTTTAAAACAATATTTTCACCATGTATTACCAAAAATGGACATTAGAGGGAGCCAGAGGACATGCCATGTATTCTTCAGCATCACACTGGCTCCCTCTAGCGGCCAGTTCTGTTAACTACATCATAAAAATACGGAGTTCTACTTGTTTTTTAATATTTTAAATATTTTTCAGACCATGAAGAAGTGAAACCATGGACACTGATCCCACGGATACGGGGGTCCTACTGTAACTTCCCCCCCCCATATGAACCCATAAAAGTGAGTGCCTGATCCACCACTGTTTGAGACTTCCTAAAAAGAGAATTACCACCAATCTCAGGAAGTTCATCCTGCCAGTTCCTACATGGGTTTCTCCATGCCCCTTCTTTATCCACCCGGCCCACCTTCCCCCAGCTCTCGAACTGAGAGCCATCTCTGTCCCGCCATGCAGACAGACAGGCAAAGCAAAAAAGCCACGGGACAGACTCGGGCTGGCAACGTTTAGGTTTGCTTTTGTGGGGGGAACAGGGGGTTGTTCGGGTTTTGCCGATATCTTTTTAGGGAGGTGGGAGGATTCGAAAACAGAGCTCAACAGACAACACTCCAGCCAGTTCCAGGTAAGCCAGACACCTGTTCCAGAGAGAAGGACAGAGGGAGACGGACGGACGGACAGAGGCAGACTCAAAGGACCACAGGCAAGGAAGGGAAATTTCTGTGTACAAAAAAGGATCAGTGCGCAGCAAGGGGTTAAAAAAAACACACACAACTAAACAGGCTAATATTTTAAAAGAGAAAGGTTCTTACTTCAGTGTGGCTGATGGGTTTCCCCCTACTCTGAAAAAAGAACAACAATATTTATACCGTCACGACACCCGAAATGCCTCATGCTGACATCAAACCTCACTCTCGCTAGACGCTCTCGAATGGCTAGGTTCTAACCCTAACCCCCCCCTCCCAAAAAGCAGGGGGACAGATCTAATTCCTTTCCCCCCCCAAATACCCCCCTTTTGGTAAATCTTACCAGTTGACCTATCCATAATTTCCCCAGTTGAGGATGTGTCTTGTCTTCGGACAGGGGGTGGGAAAATGGATCGGATCGGGAGCGTTTGTGTATTTTGGGGCGGGGGGGACCATGGGGTAGAGCAAAGAGCCCGGAGTCATTCACGAGGCAGAGCAGTACCCCAATCCCTGGTGTTAAATCTGGGAGTTTGCACATCAGAAAAGAAGTGGGGAAACTGAACCAAAAAAATAAAATAAAATCTTAAGACGCTGCCGAGTTAATGCGAAAGGAGAAGGAGACTATGTTCTTTACATTAAGAATGGGTATTTCTTGTCCTGCTGCAAAGTCATTTATTTACTCAAGGGGTCGCAGCACCACTGACTTCTGATCCCGGGAATAAGAAAGGGAGGGGGAGAAAAAAAGGATGGGAAGGGCAAAGAAGCACAGACTTCCTGCATTGCCCTTTTAAGAAGGAATCACAGAAACTTATGCCATTGGCCTTTTAAAGTCCCTCCCTTACTCCCTTCCATGTATCTGCTTTAGGAAGTCAACTGGCAGAGAAAAGGAGGGGAAATATAGGTAAAAATGAAACAGATGTCCTCCTCTCCGACCTGCATCATTTGGTCTATAATCTTGCCGTTTTCTTTTCCTGCAGAGTTGGAAATGCATAAATATTGGCACGGATCTAGACAAGGATCAGGTGGGAGTATCTCCAAAGGGCCAGGAGGGGGCAGGCATGAATCTGAGCACCCTTATTTGGGAACAAAACCAGTCCATGAAAGAACACACATCACTAATTGACCTTAGAGGCATAAATCAATAACTTCCTTTACATTTTAATGCATTGCATTCAACAAGCCATTGACAGAGAACACACAGAGGGGACTGATAAGGGGCTTGTTTAACCCTCTCTGCCCCCCCCCATGCTGGGAACGTGTTGTTCAGTGCCTTCCCCCAACTGCTCCCTACTCAGCCGAAAAAGACCAACAACACACAGAAACACACACCTCAACAACACCAACCACAGAACACCTCTGAACAACACCCCAGCAGACCTCTTCCATTTTCAACCAGAGTCACACTACATGATACAGTTAGCGACATCATTAGAAGCTGAACAGTATCTTTTTCCTACTGGGTACGTAGTTCCTTCAAAGCTCCATGCCCAAAAGGTATGGAAAAAGACACCCATCCTTGCCTCTTGATGACCCATTGCAAACTGATTTGCAATCTCTGGAACCAAGGTAGCCTTCTCGATGGACTGACAGGTGTCTTTTCTCTCTGCTTCTAATGATGTGCTCCCTGCACTGTCTAGCTGGACCATCGGTCATTGGAAGTGGGATGAGGAGGTATGGCAATGGGATGAACAACCTCATTTTGGCCTTTGCGCAACAGACAGAGAGAAGAACGGCTAGTTACCTTCTCAGTCCCCTTGCCGTGCTTTCTTAAGAGAGTCCCCTGTAGAAACAATATGACAAATTGATCAATGCAGCATGGGAGGATGAGTCATCTTGAAAGAAGAGATGTTGAAGGTGCTGGTGATGGGTGGAAGGGAGGAAGGAGCTGGTGATTGGTGGAGGGAAGAAGGAGCTGGTGATGGGTGAGAGGAAGGAGCTGGTGATGAGTGGAAGGGAGGAAGGAGATGGTGATGGGTGGAAGGAAGGAAGGAACTGGTGATGGGTGGAAGCAAGGAAGGAGCTGGTGATGGGTGGAAGGGAGGAAGGAGCTGGTGATGGGTGGATGGGAGGAAAGAGCTGGTGATGGGTGGAAGGAAGGAGCTGGTGATGGGTGGAAGGAAGGAAGGAGCTGGTGATGGGTGGAAGGAAGGAAGGAGCTGGTGATGGGTGGAAGGAAGGAAGAAGCTGGTGTTGGGTGGAAGGAGGGAAGGAGCTGGTGATGGGTGGAAGGAAGGAAGGAGCTGGTGATGGTGGAAGGAAGGAAGAAGCTGAGTGGAAGGAAGGAAGAAGCTGGTGTTGGGTGGAAGGAGGGAAGGAGCTGGTGATGGGTGGAAGGAAGGAAGGAGCTGGTGATGGGTGGAAGGGAGGTAGGAGCTGGCGATGTGTGGAAGGAAGAAAGGAGATAGTGATAAGTGGAAGGAAGGAAGGAAGGTTAGACTTGGGTATGGATGTAAGGAAGGCATACTCATGAACAGTCACCCCAGGACTTTTTCCAAAGTCGATCACGATAATTCCTTCTGTCCTTTGTCCGAACTAGAGAGGTGATCCATGAGAGAGAGGGGCTGTCAAGCCAGGAAGGGGGAAAACAGGGAAGATGATGGATCCCCCAAGGGCATCTTCTTAGGATTGCCTGGGTTCAGAGCAAACATCCTTTTCCTTGGGATCGTGGGAGGCTCCTGAGCTAGGTGGCCGATTGGATTTGCCATGGCTGAGGACGTGGTGGGAACTCTGAGACGAGGCCAACAGGAAGGGTGGTAAGTATGAAGGGAGAGGCATGAAGGAGGAGGCCGTGAAAGTTTGTGCCAAACCAAACTTGTTAGCCTCCTGGATGTCACAGGGCTCTGGGCAGCATCCACAGCCACAGGCCACCCCCTTGAAAAGTGCCGAAGGGCAAGCCGGAAGCTCGTGCCAATGCCACGGATTCAATGGGCGTGCTGTCGTGGGGATCGTGGCCTTATCTCCTTGGGGACCCTCAAAGGAGAAGGCCCCGGCTGCCGTGGAAGAGTGCTGTGCCAACTGTAGGTCTGCACAGTTTGCCCGAGCTGGTTTCGAAGGATCTTTTTTCTGCTGTGGGAAGGCAGTGCAGCCGGAAATCGGGAGATGGACAGGGAGAGAACCGTTTCCAAGGGCAGACCCAAACAGCAAACCTATCGAAAGAACAAGTCCCTGGCGCTTTCAGCCCAGGCGTCACCCAAACCCTCCCTTTCCCGGGACATCCCCCAAAATAGGAATCTAACGGAGGTTGAGCAGAAGGAGCAGACTTTCCGGGGAGACGTTGAACAGCTGGCGTGAAGCAGCTCAGCAACAGAGGGGAAGGTTTGGCAAAGGAGATAGAGGGGGTTTTTCGGGGTGGGGAGGTTGCGCGGGTGCAGGAAGAGAAAGGCACTCGAGGTGCGTGGGGGATGAGGGGGAGGCAGCCACCACAGAACGACAGAGAAACCAGCTTGAGTCACCGAGGGAAGGGGTTGTCGGGGAGACCAGACGCCAGGCACACGGACGGGAAGAGAGAGACACACGGAAGACAGGGGGAGGTGGGGTTTTTTCCTGAGATACTTACAATCATCTGCCAAAGTGAGGCGAGCGGAGCAATTGGAGAGAACAACCATCACATAAGCAGACTGTCATCTACCCCTCAGCGCTCCCGTCACCCTTCCAGCCTGACCCGCCCCCCGCCCCCCCAAAAGCCAGGCCGCAATCTTTCCCGACACACCGACTCGACCCACGCACAATGGGGGCCCCAGTCCGACCCGCAAAACAGAAAAAGCCCCAGGAGCTAGGAGTGTGAAGGACCTCTGCCCATGCCTAGAGGGAAGCAGAAATATTGTGTATGTATTCAGTCACTCATCTATCTATCTATCTATCTATTTTATACCCTGCCTTTCCACTAAAAGGTCATGCTCAAGGCGGGTTGCAAACTTAGGGAAAGAAGGAAAACATTGGAAACCACTGTGACACAAATAAAATGAATACTGTACAAAATAATAGCAACAGCATTAAAGAAAATTAATAAGCTCTTTTACACCTGCCCCCTTCGTGAAACTGTTCAAATCAAGCAGAATTCGTATCCGAATGGCTCCAGACCCCCTTAGGAGCAAGACGTTTTCCGGGGCAGCTCCTCTCTCTTGCCTTTCCAGACTTCCCTTTGCAAAACCTAGAGTTGATGTTTCCTTGTCTGGGATTTATTGAATTCACACAGAGAGGCGCTTTTCTCCAGGACCTGAAAAGGCGTTTATCTTGTTTTGCTGTTCTGCAAAACAGGAAAAACACCAGCTCTACTGAAAGGTGGAAAGAGCTGTAAAATCATAATTTCTTACGGAACTTTAGTGAACGCAAAAATGACCGTGATGGAGAGATTTTAGATGGGTATGTGTGTCTTCTGGGGGGGAGCAAGTTCACTACACAAAGATCTAAGACAAATTTGGTTTTCTTCACATATACAGTTGGACCCCTGTAGCTATGAGGGATCAGTTTGAAGCCCCCGCCCCTGTGGATGCTGAAAACCGTGGAAAAGAGCATACCCTATACCTAGCATGGTCTCTGGCTCCCTCTAGTGCCTGGTTCTGATAATTACATCATGGAAATAAGTATTTCTGGGTTTTTTCTTTTCTTTTTTATATATTTTCCAACAGCCAGCCAATAAGTGGTTACTGGTTTCGCGGATACGGGGGTCCTTCTGCAAATTATATCCCCCACACAAAAACCAACTAGAAATGTGTCAAAAAGTAATTTATGCTCTTCTTCATTAAACAGTCCTGGCTACATATCCCCAAGTCCCCAGCCTCCATATATCTTGATCTGTCCACCTGTCTCCTAATTTTTAAAATGGGAAATGTGAGTTTTCCACAGTTTGGTTTGCTCCTAAGAGCTACTCTTTATTGAAATCGAGGCCTGCTTCTGAAGTTCTCCGAAAGTGGAATCCAAGGGGTGGTTAATGGACAGAATGCAATCCTTGATCATGCGCAATGTGCTCAGAAGCTCCCCCCGCATGCACACTAAGGCACTGTGGAAAATAGACCCAGTAGTTCCTGAAGGAATTTGAACCCTCCATGACCCAATTATAGGATTATTTGTGATTGAAGCATAATAATCACAAAGCTATGTTTCCTGCCTGAGGCTTTGAAGGATCTAGAAGGTGCCTGTCCCTTGGGTAGAAAACCCAGAATGGGGAAGGATAGGCTTCGTAGTCCAAGAAATTTGAAAATTCCATTCCTGGCTCAGACATCAGGCAGTCTGAACTCCAAATTTATCCCAGCGATCTACAGCATTGAATCCCAGCCAAACAACAGGCTCAGAAACGTGGCCGACTCCTTTAAAGTTCATGGCAAAACCCGGAACGGATTCATAACCCCCCCCTTGCAACGTTGCTGCCAGTGTCCACTCCTCCTCGGCTCACCATACCCCCAACACACACATCAGGCTTCACCTCCTTCTGCTCAAAAAGTCAAGCGAAACAGACCGGCTCAAAAACTGAAGTCAATTTCCTGCTCTCAGCCTCCCCAAATCCCTGGGAATGAGAGTCGAGGGCCATTTTTTTCGGGGCCGTGCTAGAGAATCTGCAGGGCTGGCAAATTTTAAGAGGTCCCGGCTCAAAACCGGGGCCGAGGGGAGGAATTTCTGCCTTTTAATAAAATTGATGAGCTACATCGAGACATACATGAGAAAATCCGTAACCTCCACCCCCCATGCTTTAAAGCTGAATAAACCTAAACGCCTCCTGCTATTGGCTTAAATGCAAAAGGATGGGGGGTTTGCAGAAAACCTACAGACGAGTGAACCGTTAGCATTTTGGTCATTTTTATCCTGGTTTGGCTGGCCTTGGGGAGAAAGCTAAGATGAACCGTGGAAGTCCCTGGGGCAATCTGGATTTTTGCTAGGTCTGCATCCCACCCCAAGCTTCCAAACAAGCTTTTTCTGGAGATGTACATTCCAGAACTTAATCTCAAGTCAGTGAACTATGAGGGCTAGAAGCTTGTTTCCTTCAAAATCAACCTTGATGACCTTGAGATGGTAAACTGGATGGCCAGTAGATATTTCGGTGGGGACACTGAGACCTTCTCATGATGGTCTGCCATGCCTTTGGGGTTTCAGCGCCCCCCCCCCCCGCCTGCTGGTCAGTGACTTTCAAGGGAGGGGGAAAGGGTTGGTTCTATGAACCCAACACTGGCAGGAGACTCACCGTCTGATCCGTCAGTGGCGGAAGAACGATGGTCTTCTCCATGGTGTTCATGACCAGCTTCCAGAGTTCCTTCAGCACTCGCTTCAAGACCGTCTTCTCGCAAATCTTGGCGAAAAGGGTCAGGCTGGGAGGGGAACCGGCGAGAAAGGGAAGGTGAGCGGGCACCATCAGGTTTAAGGCGGAAAAAGCAACTTTTCAAATGTGTTCAAAGACGTCTAAAATGTATAAATTTAAAACATTTATCTCTTGCTTTATATTGCCAGATCTTGGGGCAGGGGTGGGTGATTAACAGCCAGATAAAACAATTTAAAAACATAGAATCTTTGCAATAAGTTAAAAAGTTTTAAAATACATCATATTTTTTTTTAAAAAAGGATAGCTCATGGGGTATAGGTTGCTGGCTGTAGAGCCATAGGCTGGGAGTTTGAATCCCCTACTACTAGGCCTCCTTGACAGGGTCTGGATGGGATAAGCCTTTCTGCTCTGCCGTTCTAGTATTATTGTTAAAACACTCAAGGTAAAGGTAAAGGTTCCGCTTGACAATTTTTGTCCAGTCGTGTTCGACTCTAGGGGGCGGTGCTCATCCCCGTTTCCAAGCCATAGAGCCAGCGTTTTTGTCCGAAGACAATCTTCCGTGGTCACGTGGCCAGTGCGACTTAGACACAGAACGCTGTTACCTTCCCACCAAGGTGGTCCCTATTTATCTACTCGCATTTGCATCCTTTCGAACCACTAGGTTGGTGGGAGCTGGGACAAGCGACAGGCACTCACTCCGTCACGTGGATTTGATCTTACGACTGCTGGTCTTCAGACCCTGCAGCACAGGCTTCTGCGGTTTAGCCCGCAGCGCCACCACGTCCCTGTCAAACATTGAAGCCACTGTGCTAAAAGCTGTGCAAGCCATGATCCTCAACTGTCAAAAAGCTATAATAAATAATATGTTTAGACTTGGCGCCAGCATGGTGCCCGTTTGGCGCCATTTGAGCCTCCAAGCACCATTTCTAAAGGCTGTTAAACACGTGAAACCCACTTTAACATCATCCTCTTATCAAGGCAAACAAATGAGGTGTGGTTTTGTTCTGGACTTCTGTCTCAGTGCATTTCCAAGGGTGCAGTATCAAAGCCGGTCGCTAGGGGGAACCAGAAAGGCTTTCACTGTATTTTACTGACTTGTGCTTCAGCTCAATGCCATGTGTTAGGAAAGATGCAATTGTAATAAATTGTAGCAGCCAAAGAGGGAAAGTGGAGAATCCTAAAAAAAAAAGACAAAGAAAAGAATATTCTAATTTTCGGCAGGTACTCACTTGCTATCCAGAAGGTCCATAATAGGTTGTAATACGTTGTCGGCGTCTTGCGCCACACTGCTGCAGGCGCTGGCAGGCACATTTCCGGTGCCTTTCACCTGGCTCAGGATGTCTCCCATCTGCTTCACACAATCCTCAATGTGAGGCTGGAAACTGGACAAAAAAAGAGGAGAGATCTCGCCAGAGGTTCAGCTAAAATCCGAAATGGACAATTGGCCCCAAAGTTTCCAACCTGTGGCCCCCACCCATACCACAAAACTTGGTAGCTTGCTACTGAGGGCAAACTGAACCTTCTGAAGCATTGGGTGTCTCTGTGTGTGGAGCTGATTTGTTGTTTTAACATACCCCTCATTTTGGGGCAAAAAAGGCCTGGTTTAAAATGGGAAATTAGTGCTATATGGAGGATGTGGCACTATGCAGATGGAGGATTTGTTGATTTAATTTAATTTAGTTTAATTTAATGTAATTTCCAGATCACTCGGGGGTTATTTAATTTAGTTTAATTTAATTTAATTTCCAGATCACTCAGGGATTGAGGTCTCCGGCTACAGACCCTGAGGTTGGGAGTTCGATCCCCACCCCCCACCGCATGCCTCCCGGGGAGCCTGAGGTTGGGAGTTCGATTCCCCCCCTCCACCGCGTGCCTCCTGGATAGGGGCTGGACTCCATGATCGGTACGGTCCCTCCCAGTTCTGCCATTCTAAGATCATTAATTTAATTTACAGAAGCGGCTTTGATTCCTGGGATCCCGAGAATCTTCCAAGGGCACTGACGGACTGGGGAAGACAATCATGTAGGCAAAGAGGAGGAACAAATGTGAGATAGATAGACACCCTAAAGAAACCACAACTTTGAGCAGGGCTGTTGAGGACCAGCCCTTCTGGAGGCTGACCATTCATAGGATCATCTTAAGTCGGAGGGGACTTGATGGCATATAATAATGTATTTAAGGCAAAGGATTTCTCGTAGGTTCTTTTTCAATGGCCCGTTGGTCCTCATCAGACTTACCTGGTGGCGAATACCCGGCTTAGCTCGTCTAAGACATTGTTGAGTTTCACCTGGAGTTCCTTGAGGATGTCGCTGGCTTCTGTGTCCAGCTGAGAAGACCAAAAGAGACCGCCGTTCCGGGTGCGAATCTTCCCCTCTGACACCCACCCACAAGCTCTTAGTAGCAGCCCTAAATTTCAGCACCTCTCCATCTACAGTACATCAAGTTGGGAATCACACATCTTGAGGACCATTTAGGGTCCCAAAAGGGAGGGGGTAAGTATTTATAACACTTTTATGGGGGATTTCCACCCCAAAAGATCATTTCTCAGGGGCGTATGATTCAAAACTAGCTACTGGATTGTCTACACTTGATTTGAACTAGAAAATCGTTTGAAACAAAAGTCATTGGGGATTTCTTCTGCTCCTGTTGGGAGGGACGGGGTGAGTGGCTCCGGGGTATGGAAATGGGGCCCCAGATCGGTTGATATAGGATTGCATGCATGCCAACCCTGTTAATCATGGCAGATGAGAAATTCACACCTCTTTCCCTCCCATGGCTTCAAACATCTTCTCCAGCTGGACACGGAGTTGTTGTATGTTGTTCATCAGGATGCAGGGCTGAAATTTCAAAAACAAAACAAAACACAAAAACAAAACTCAGATCCTTATAGGGTCAGGATCATCACAAATCCAGGTGGCATTTTTCCTTTCTAGAAGTCCCCTGAGATAATTTTCCTCCTGGGAATCCACCGCACGATGTGGGTTCTCCTGCCCGTGCTATCGGCCCGAAAGCTTAGCCTATTTTAAAAAAAGCTTTATCCCACGTCCGTAATACGGACACTTTTGGGGTTCACGGCATTTACAGCTGCTCTTCTGGGATTGGTGGGTCTCCTGCTCTCCCCCTGCCCGCCCAACCTCTGTCTCTCTGCCGTCAACGCTCGGAAAGCATACATGGGAGGAAAAGCACTTATTTCTGTGTTTCCTTCCAGATTGGTTTGCGCAGCGCTTCAGCGGCACTTCTCTGTGTTGTAGACTATGGGATAATCATAGAATCCTAGAATGGTGAAGTTGGAAGAGGGGCCTCGAAGACCATCGAGTCCAGCCCCCTGCTCAAGGTAAGAATCCAACTCAAAGTAGATCCGCCAGTGATTGTCTCATTTTCTGGTAAGAATCCAACTCAAAGTAGATCCGCCCGTGGTTGTCTCATTTTCTCTTGAATGCTGCCACAGCACTGTAGCATTCACCACCTCCTGAGTCCCATTGTCATACTGCTCTAACAGTTAGGAAGTTTTTCCTGAGATTCAACCGAAATCTGGCTTCCTGTCACTTGAGCCCACATTGTGGCATGTCCTGCACACGTGACAGTGGATCCAGATCCATTCCGGGCTTTGCTCCGAACTTTACAGGGCCTCCACGGGCACCCCAGACTTGGGCTCAGCCACGCCGGAGAGCGCCTTTAGATTTCTGGACCCAAATTGGTGATTTCCTGGCAGCCGGTGGCATCTGAGCCCCTTCGCCCTCAGTGAAGTACTGCTTCGTATTAAGCGTTCCAAGAAACGAACAAATTATATGAGAGGGAGCCCTCTGACTCACCTTGACGGTGCTGGCGACTGGCTGCTGGGGAGCTGCATCTCTTCGCTGCTGTTGTGACCAGGCAGGAGGGGTGGGGAAATTAAGAAAGAATTTTTAAAAAATGAAACAGATAATTGGTCTCTGGTCACTGGGTGGCCAGGAAAAACAGTTTAATTTTGTTTTTAAGAGAGGTTTTGCTCAGTAAGTTCTCTTCTGCTGATCAGGGGGATTTGGAAGACAGTTATGCCCAGGTTTCTCCCTGTCTTATTTATTTTGATTGATTTATTCAACACATTTTTACCCCACCTTTGTCTTAAAATATAGCCCAAGACAGGATATATATGTCTGTGCGTCTCTGTGTGTTTAATTCTTTTTTAACATTACAATAATTTATTGCTTTCACTTTTTAATGCCAACTACTAGTACAATATTTTAAGAAAGAATTAAATAAATACATATAAAATACGTACATATTTAATAAATAATAATATTTTACTATTGCTTTTATATTATATTATATTATATTATATTATATTATATTATATTATATTATATTATATTATATTATATTATGTACATGTGTTTAATTTTTTTAATACTGCAATGATTTATCGCTTTTCACTTTTTAATACTATTAATCAAATATTTTTTGTAAAAATTAAATAAATACATGTAATTTAATACATTCATATTTAATACATATTTAATACATACATTAATGAATAATGATACATACATATTTAATAAATAATAATAATTGTATATAATACTATATACAAGCAATACTAAAAACACACTGGAAAAAAAACAACAGGGATAGAACCCATTTAGATGTGTGCAACTAAAATCCAACTCAGGAAAAAAACAAGGGGGGGGGAAATATGAAATTTCTCTCTGCAGCCACTAGAGGGGGGCGGTCTTTTTCAGTTTTTGAAAACCCTATAAAATCTATATGGGGCGTGTGTAAGACTGCTTGCGATTCCAACCACAGTTAGTTGCCTGTGGTTTGTTTCCAGGGTGGACGTTTTCCTCCCCTATGAATTTTGTAAAGGCATACCCACCGGTTGACCTTGAACCCTCCCTTCCAGCATCAGCCGGTGGGTTTGGGGAGAAACCCAGCCCCCCACCCCCCCCGAGGCCTGAGGCTACGAAGCGAGATACGTTACCACTTTTTCTTTCTCTTTCGAACAGTAAGAGGCAAAGTCCTTAGAGATGATCTCTGCGTACTGAAGGAGGACATTGCTGATGGTCTGAAAAATAACAAAGGACAAGTGAAAGCCGGAAGATGACTCGGGATCATAGTGGCAAATAATCCCCTCCTTGGATCAGACCCAAAGAGGAGACCGACTGGTTGCTGGACTCCATCTCCCATCATCCCTCACCTATGACGATGGGGACCATCCCAAACATCTGAACACCCTTAGGTTCAACACCCCCATCTATCTCTTCTTAGAGGCCAGTGGTTCCCAACCTTGGGTAATCCACATGTTCTTGAACGACAGCTCCCAGAAATCCCGGCCAGCACAGCTTGTGGTGATGGTTGCTGGGATTTTAGTCCAAGAACACCTGTGGACCCCCAAGGTTGAGAACCCCTGTTCTAAAATAACATCAGCATGGCCTTCCTGAATCAGTATCAACACAGAACAGCATTCCATGGGGCAACCCACCTGCTCCTGCTTTTAGTCCGAATTTTAAAAGAGTCAGCTAAGATTCTGGACATTTTTTCCAGAAATATAGCATTTAGCACCTGGCTACCTCCTGGAAAGTTCATAGTAAAAGCTGGACATGAGCTGCCACCCCAGGGACATCAGGATCATTGGTGTTTAAAAAAAGAAGAAGAAAATGAGCTAGCCCTGGATTCAAATCCTATACCCCAAGGTTTCTAACCCAGCCCCCTGGATTTCCCTGTGAGAAAGACACACAGTGTATCCACCCTCCAACAACAGCCACTTGGAACAGCTCGCCCCTCTCCTTACCTTGGCGAACCGGCGCATGTAGTGGCCCACAATCTGCGGGTCAGGGCACTCCAACTTTTTGATGATTTCAAAGCTCTGGTTGAGTTGGGAGAAGACGTCGACCACGGAGCAGGAGAAGAGGGCGTGCTCCGAAGTTTGCTGGAACTGGTAGGAGACCCAGAAAAAAAGGGCGGGTGAGGAGCTGAGCACTTGAGAGAATATCTCAAGGTGTTCAAGAATGGAGCTGTCCAGGGTGCTGAACCTCTTAGATGGGATAGGTGGACACTTGTAAAGTTCAGGCCACAACCTGGACCATCAACAACTCACTAAGATCAGAACCACCCATCTCCTCTGAGGAAATTCTCTGAGACCACACATATATGGAGAATTTAACCTCACGATAGCCCTGCAAGGCACGTATGTACACGACCCCCCCAAAACCTGTCAAAAGGCCATCTCTTGTTATGACTATTTTGGAAGTAAACACAGGCCAAGAGCTGGCTTTCCAAATGGACACTTTACCCCATCCTTCTTGTCTCTTTCCAATGCTCCGTGTAAGAAATCTCTGGAAACTTCCTCGTTTTCATCCAGCCACTGGATCACAAATGGTTCGAACCATCTGGAAAAGCGAGAGAGGGATCGGAGCGAAGAAAAATAGATTCACTTGAAAATTTCTCTCATAGGTGGGGTAAAAAAAAAAACCCCAAACCCTGGAAAGAGATATTGATGCTGTGCTGATATTTCTCCTCTGAGCTCTTCCGTATTTTCCTTACCTAATTCTCTGGATCAGCCATTCCCAAATTTTTAGCTTGGAAGTTCTTGGACTACAACTCCCAGAAATCAAGGGGTCAAGATTTATGGGAATGGTCATCCCAGAATCTATGGGGCTCAAAATTTGGAAGCAGTTGCTCTGAATCCTTTTTTCCCCTCTAGGATATTGGAGAAATTTAAAAGAAATGATGGGGTGGCGTTTACTCCGTATGGACCTGACCCCTTCCATTGAACCTGAGGATGTTATTATTATTTTTTCTCTCCCTCTGCTTTCTAAATTTCTTGTTGAAAAAATAATAATCTCCATAAAAGCCGCAGAAAAGAACACAGAAAACAGAATTAAAATGTTGCAGATGTTCCCACATGTATGGGAGGATTTAAAAACCTTCGTGTCGGGTTTTAAGCAGGAAAGAGGCCAATCGGGAACTTACGCCGGATACTCGGGGACCCGGCTCTTGAACGCGGGGAGGTCTGTGACGTATTCGTTGTACAGCCACTTAACTTTAAAGTGCAAGTTCATATAATCGGCGCTCTTGCACAATCGGTGCTTATCGTGTTCTATAGGACAAGCAGGCAGAAAAACAGAGAGAGAGAGAGAGAGAGAGAAGAGGGTGCAATTAGACAGAAGCCCACTTTTAGAGAAGACATTGAGATACAGAACCTGCATGAAAAGTCCAAAGTGGACTTCACGGTCTTGGCCAGACCCACTTCCTAACAGGTATGTTGATATCTTAGCTGTCCCTTGGATACAGACCTGGCCAGGTGAAAAAAAGGACAGAGGACAAGCAAGAAGGAAACGAAATCTGGGAAGCCACCTCTCCAAAAACCCACCACACCTTCTTCTCCAGCCTCCAAAGCTGAGAAGCTATGATTCTGGTTGTGGTCGTTCCTTCCTAAACCAAAAGTAACTAAAAAATAATTCATGGAGCTTGAGACTTGGAAGAAGCCAATGTTTGAGCTGTGTGACTTTCCTTCTCATCCCTTTAGTCTGGTTCCAAGTGACCATGAATGGTCTTCTACTGACAATCCAGGGTGTGTGGTGGAAGTTGAGTTAAGGCAACTGGACGTCTTTCTTACTGGGTTGAAACGTTTCACTCATCATGCATGAGTCGCTTGGATGAGTAGCAAAACGTTTCAGCCTTATAAGAAAGAAGTCCAGTTGCCTTAACTCAGCTTCCAGATAACGCCACCTTGGATGACTGAGAATCTTCGCAGATATACTAAAACTTAGAGCTGTGGTTCCCAACCTTGGGTCCCCAGATGTTCTTGGCCTACAACTCCCAGAAATCCTGGCCAGCCCTGCTAGGGATGAAGGCTTGTGGGAGTTGTAGTCCGAGAACATCTGGGGGCCTAAGGATAGGAACCAACAGGTCAGGCCAAACATTTTAGGTCTTCCAAATGACCTCACGGACACTCACCTTCCATTGCATATTTCATATCCTGAGCGAAAAGGTTCCACATTACTTCGGCGCTGATCTTCCCGACATTTAGCTCTTGAGGGAACCTGGTAAGGAATCAGAGATGGAATGAGATCTTCTCAAGAGGTTTTCATCTCACAGATCAGGGGCCATGAGAAAAGAAAAGCCATTCCTGGAACATCTCATGAACTTCAACCACCCTAATGAAGAAGCATCTTGATGACACAGAAAGACAAGAATGAACTTTATGAGATTCTTCTTCCAGAGAAGAAACCAGGTAACCTTCTCCTTTACTTGATGGTAATATCCACAAAGCCATAAGTGCCGTAAGAAGCTAAGATGGCAACCATCAACTGGTGCCTCCTGATCGGGCTGAATTCCGAGCCGGACTCTGAATCACTCAAAACCTTCTGCCTTACATCGATGAACTTTTCCCTTTCCACACTTCCAAATTTTTCATTTAAAAAACAGTCGCAAGGTTTGCTGTTAACTCTCTCAAGTTCTTCCCCTCAGATTTAGGGAAGAAATTTGCCAGCTTGGGAAACTTCAGGTCAAAAACCCACAAGCAAACTTTGGGGCCCACTCTCACTTTTGCAAGCAAGATCAGCATTATTTGGGGGAGGAAAAACATGCACACCAAAGTCATCGTATTGGCGGATGGCTTGTTGATGGGCACGTTGTATTTGCCAGCTTGCCTGGGCTGTGGATCGCGCAGCTGGTTGGCATAAAGAACAGCCTTACAACGATGCAAGGCGTTGGCTTTACTACCTTAGTATGCACGGATTTCTGGCCCCAAAGCATACCCAAACCAGAAATTATAGGATCATTCTCCCCCCCCGCCCCATCTCCCATTCTCGTCCTCCGTGATTCTGTTCACCCTTTTTGCTGTCCTTACTGGTTGAGGCAAGGCGTGTATGAATTCTTATCTTCCTCAATGATCGACACGATCAAGGTGATCAGCTTGGACCAAAAATCCAGATTCTTGATGCTGGGCCCCTGTTCTTCCGGCGGGAGTTCACCCTTCTTGGTCTGAGGAGGGAAGGATGGGAAAAAGGGAGGAAGAAACAACACGTCGGATTCATCAGGACCAGTTTTGAGTGGGAGGCACATTTCCACTGACTATAAGAGCAGATTTGCACCTCTATTAAAAAGTCATAGGGCCAGCCGCACCATGGGGCAAGGTGGGGCAGCTCTACTCAACAGGAGATCTGGGCTATCTGAGAACGGCGGAGGTGGAAGGGACCCTGTGAGATCATCCGGTCCAGCCTCTGTCAAGGAGACCCAGTTGGGGAATTGAACTCCCAACCTTTGGCTCCATAGCCAGGGACCTCAACCCCTGAGCTATCCAGTTGTTCTTTAAAGACAACCACCACCACCGTCGCCATCTTAGAATGGCAGATCTAGAAGGGACCCTCGAGATCATCCAGTCCAGCCTCTGTCAAGGAGGCACCTTGGGGGATTCGAACTCACAACCTTGGGCTCTCAGCTACCCAAGGACAGTTTTGGCCATGGTGATGGCATTTTCTTCTCCGGCTTTTGGGGAGGTGCTCAGATTGATTTCCAGACCACCCCTCTCACCCTACGTCTATGCGTTGCTCACACGATCATGCAGCCCACTCACCGGGTCCGTTTGATACTCCCGACTGTACAGTTCATGGCAGTTGTTGAAGATGTATTCGTACGTAGAGTTGAGGCAGGCCTTCACACAATCCTTGACTACCTGGCTGGCTCGGGGTGGACTCTGGAGCTCTTGGACCTGAAGAACAGTGAGGGGCGACTGACCACGCTTAGAAGCCGAGATTGGCCTCCATAGAGCTATGGATGCCAAGCATTTAAGATACCTCCAGGGACAAGACTGGCTGGGAAAGGCAACCGCGCCGTGAAAAGAGGTAAGCGGACAACTAGCAGAAGCCACAGCCTCTGGTTCGCAAAGGGTGAGCAGGGATGCTGAGGAGAGTCCCTTTCGGTGGTTGCTCACTCACAGGATGGATGGAAGTCAGAAGCGACCTGATGGCATTTAATAATGACACAAGATGGCTTGGTACACCATTCTCCAAAGACATACATCTGAAATCTTCCTTCCTTCTTTTCATCCATCCATCACCAGCTCCTTCCTTCCTTCCTTCCACCCACCCGTCCATCCATCCATCCATCCATCCATCCATCCATCCATCCATCCATCCATCCATCCATCCATCCATCCATCCATCCATCCATCCATCCATCCATCCATCCATCCATCCATCCAGGAAAAACAAGGATCAAAGCCACAGAAGTAATGGCGGTGGACAAAAGGTCCAAACACCGTGACATTCCTTCCAAACCCTTGGGTGACCAAAAGGGACTGAAGGCCATCTTGACCACTCGTGTGCCCTGAAATCCTGTTTGGGGATGAAGGCCTCAGTCGATCAACCCCAACAACAAATCAAAGACCAAGTGAAGCAAAACCTACCTTCATCCGGAAGAAGGTAATGCTGGTCAAGAGGTCCACCGTGGATTTGAGGTCTTGCAACCTCTCGGGACTGCTGGCAGGGAAATTATTCTGCGGGGGAAGAAAGGGGACAAGATGGAGGAGAGTCATGAGGAGCTCCCCAACCCGAGGAGGAGTCACAGACATCTCAGGACCCTGTTCGTCTCCCTTTTCTTTGGCTGCGAGGATGTTCCACCTCCTCTCCAGGAGGCCTTTTAGGAAGTCTTTAGTCCTTAGCACCAAAAGATCAAGGTGGGTGGCCGTGAAAGGCAGTGTGGGGCAGTGGTGAGAGGACCAGACCAAGATCTGCCCATCAAGACATGAAGTCCAGACCAGCCCTGGACAAAAGCACTGGAGGAATGAATGAACACAATGAATCAAATCCTCAAAATATCATCAAGGGTTTAACGCACCCCTTTCCCTATGGCTTCTCCTCGATAAACAGACACTTATTTTTATCACCTTCCTCTCTAGAACACGATGCTTCAATAAATACCTTTTCTTAACGTAAGTTCCTGTGTTGATAACAATGGCTTCTGTTTTCTTTGGATTTAACTCTCCTATTTCTCTGCATTTATCAATTTATTATTTGGATATTCTTTGTATACATATTTTTAATGGGCATGATTTTGGGTCGTGTTTCACCAGTTGGTGATTTACATTGCTTTGTTGCCTTTTATGTGTCTGAGCTCACGGCAGAAAAACCAAATAGGGCGGAAAACTAAATACATGGTTCTAAAAAACCTTTTCTAGAGGGAAGTAAGTCAGCCCGATCATCTCCTATACAATACAGTTTTTTTTACATTAAAATAGATACACAGTTCATATAGGAAAGTAGTAAAATTAGAATTGGCCAACAGAAACAGTAGAAAAGAGATTTAATTTTAAGCAAGCACTTGTCTATAGTATCGTTTTCCATATATAAACAAGGCTAAGAAATTTGCTTCTTAGAATACGTATTTACAAAACATACATATTTACAACAGAAGAATCATTATATTTTTGGAAAGAGATGGTGCAAATGATATAAATTAAGATGAAATGTATCAATGAGAATACACACACACAGAAAGAGATATTATCATAGATAGATAGATAGATAGATAGACAGACAGACAGACAGACAGACAGACAGACACACACACACACACACACACACACACACACACACACACACAAATATGTCTATCATACAGAGAGAAAAATTATATATGTATATATTATACACATACAGAACACACATACACACACACGTGTGTGTGTGTATCTATCATACAGAGAGAAAAAGTATATATGATATATGTATATATTATACACATACACACACATATACAGTATATAGAGTATATACAGTATATATATTTGTCATTTATGTTTTTGGTATGTTTTGTTTTATTAATAAAAAATCTACAAAAAAGGAAACTTGCTTTTTAAAAAGTGGGTTTTTATGTGTGTGTGTTTCTTTAAAAGAATGCACTTCTTTAAAAATCTAAAAGCATGCCACTGGTTGAACACACTCTGAAGAATCTGCCTAGGTCCTCACCCGGTACATTGAGAGATCGATCCGCAGAGAGTTGTGTAGCTGGTCCAGGAGTTTGACAAACCGTTCTTTCTGCAGGAAAAAAACGGCCCCCAAAGGCAGGTAAATGAAGTCAAAGAAGAGAGGCGTCTTCCCCACCCTCAGCACCCATGCACAATATACCCCCCCCTTTCTTGAAAAATAAAAATCTAACCCTACTGGGCTGGAAATTTGCAAGACTTAACCATTCAGAAACTAACCCTGGCTTGGAAAAACAAATCAAAACATGGCATGCATTTTGGGGCAGAAAACTGGGTGTGCGAAATGATGCTCGATTCCTCCCTCGGAGGAGAGGTCCATACACTACCGGGGGAAGAAATAGCCCAGCGTACAAGTCTGTTTATTCTGTTTGGGGGGCCTCCGTCTACAATCTTCCCATCTTCGCCTTTCCCCACACACAAGGGAAACCTTAAATGAAAAACCCGTTGCTCAGGGGTGCCCCCTGAACCAGTGGCCAGAGAGAAGTAATGTGGCTTATGAAATTTAGAGGATTTTTTCAGAGGAAACGGCTGGCCGTAATAAAGTCTTGTATGAGTCTAATTTCCTCTTTGCTCACTAGCTGCTCGGCTGGCAAACCCCTTCTTCTTGTCTTCTGATGGGTTCCACCATGTCAGCCCCTCGACTCTAAGACACATGCTTTGAGCCAGATTTTAAAAACAACCACAGCTGGTATCAATAGATCCAGGGTTGCATATTTGGCCCCATAACCATGAGTATCACGAAACAGGGCTGCTCTTGTTATGAAATAGCCCCACTCTCTACGATCGCTCGTAAAAATTGAGCCTAAACCATGGTCATCTCTCGTTCCAGCATGTTTGAACCAGAAACAAAGCAAAGCCAGTGTTTGCCAAAATCAGCACTGAGGACACTTTGATTGGTGGGATGACACTCTGTCTCCCGTTGGCTCGGTGATCCTTTCTAAGCTTATCATCCGGGCTCACCGGTCTTCTCTAAGATTATTGTCTGGGCTTGCTGGTTTTCTCGAAGTTTATTATCTAGGCTCTCTGGTCCTCTCTAAGCTTATCGTCCGGGCTCCCTGGTCTTCTCTAAGCTTATTGTCTGGGCTCGCCGGTTTTCTCGAAGTTTATTATCTAGGCTCACTGGTCTTCTCTAAGCTTATCATCCGGGTTCCCCGGTCTTCTCTAAGCTTATTGTCCGGGCTCGCCGGTTTTCTCAAAGTTTATTATCTAGGCTCGCCGGCCCTCTCTAAGCTTATCATCTGGGCTTGCCGGTCTTCTCTAAGTTTATTGTCCGGGCTCACCGGTTTTCTCGAAGTTTATTATCTAGGCTCTCCGGTCCTCTCTAAGCTTATCGTCTGGACTTCCCGGTCATCCCTAAGCTTATTGTCCGGGCTCGCCGGTTTTCTCGAAGTTTATTATCTAGGCTCGCTGGTCCTCTCTAAGTTTATCATCCGGGCTTACCGGTCTTCTCTAAGCTTACTGTCCAGGCTCGCCGGTTTTCTCGAAGTTTATTATCTAGGCTCACCGGTTTTCTCCAAGTTTATTATCTAGGCTCGCCGGTCCTCTCTAAGCTTATCATCCGGGCTCGCCAGTTTTCTCGAAGTGTATTATCTAGGCTCGCCGGTCCTCTCTAAGCTTATCATCCGGGCTCGCCAGTTTTCTCGAAGTGTATTATCTAGGCTCGCCGGTCCTCTCTAAGCTTATCATCCGGGCTCGCCAGTTTTCTCGAAGTGTATTATCTAGGCTCGCCGGTCCTCTCTAAGCTTATCATCCGGGCTCGCCAGTTTTCTCGAAGTGTATTATCTAGGCTCGCCGGTCCTCTCTAAGCTTATCATCCGGGCTCGCCAGTTTTCTCGAAGTGTATTATCTAGGCTCGCCGGTCCTCTCTAAGCTTATCATCCGGGCTCGCCAGTTTTCTCGAAGTGTATTATCTAGGCTCGCCGGTCCTCTCTAAGCTTATCATCCGGGCTCGCCAGTTTTCTCGAAGTGTATTATCTAGGCTCGCCGGTCCTCTCTAAGCTTATCATCCGGGCTCGCCAGTTTTCTCGAAGTGTATTATCTAGGCTCGCCGGTCCTCTCTAAGCTTATCATCCGGGCTCGCCAGTTTTCTCGAAGTGTATTATCTAGGCTCGCCGGTCCTCTCTAAGCTTATCATCCGGGCTCGCCAGTTTTCTCGAAGTGTATTATCTAGGCTCGCCGGTCCTCTCTAAGCTTATCATCCGGGCTCGCCAGTTTTCTCGAAGTGTATTATCTAGGCTCGCCGGTCCTCTCTAAGCTTATCATCCGGGCTCGCCAGTTTTCTCGAAGTGTATTATCTAGGCTCGCCGGTCCTCTCTAAGCTTATCATCCGGGCTCGCCAGTTTTCTCGAAGTGTATTATCTAGGCTCGCCGGTCCTCTCTAAGCTTATCATCCGGGCTCGCCAGTTTTCTCGAAGTGTATTATCTAGGCTCGCCGGTCCTCTCTAAGCTTATCATCCGGGCTCGCCAGTTTTCTCGAAGTGTATTATCTAGGCTCGCCGGTCCTCTCTAAGCTTATCATCCGGGCTCGCCAGTTTTCTCGAAGTGTATTATCTAGGCTCGCCGGTCCTCTCTAAGCTTATCATCCGGGCTCGCCAGTTTTCTCGAAGTGTATTATCTAGGCTCGCCGGTCCTCTCTAAGCTTATCATCCGGGCTCGCCAGTTTTCTCGAAGTGTATTATCTAGGCTCGCCGGTCCTCTCTAAGCTTATCATCCGGGCTCGCCAGTTTTCTCGAAGTGTATTATCTAGGCTCGCCGGTCCTCTCTAAGCTTATCATCCGGGCTCGCCAGTTTTCTCGAAGTGTATTATCTAGGCTCGCCGGTCCTCTCTAAGCTTATCATCCGGGCTCGCCAGTTTTCTCGAAGTGTATTATCTAGGCTCGCCGGTCCTCTCTAAGCTTATCATCCGGGCTCGCCAGTTTTCTCGAAGTGTATTATCTAGGCTCGCCGGTCCTCTCTAAGCTTATCATCCGGGCTCGCCAGTTTTCTCGAAGTGTATTATCTAGGCTCGCTGGTCCTCTCTAAGCTTATTGTCCGGGCTTGCCGGTATTCTCGAAGTTTATTATCTAGGCTCGCTAGTCCTCTCTAAGCTTATTGTCCGGGTTCGTCGGTCCATCTTGTTGCTGCTGGAGATGATAAGCAGTGGAGACATTCTGTTGATTCAGATTAATACGGCTCCCTGTATCTTGGGAGATCTTGATGGCGGTGGGGCCTATGAAGACGGTCCTAAGAACCCCATTCTTAGTATTGGCCACAACATTACTATGGTTCCCAGACAGGCTCTAATGTGGTCCAATTTTCTCTCTCGGTGAAATGAGCAAACCCTCTGCCCTGTTCGATTTACAGGGGTTACCTCCCAAGATCTAACCCTCAAAAGGGAGGACTTGCTATGAACCCTTATTCTCTTAGTGTGGGGGAGTTATTTCAACCCTGTGTGGGCCCTTCCCCTGTCCATTAACACTGGGTGGTGATTCTCGCCACCACACCCCATTCCACCATCCCGCAGCCCCACCCCAAGACTCCCGAGCAAAGCAGAAAGGGACACGGGATTTAGCGTTGCTGCGACATAGCATGCAAACAGTGAACACAGTCCTGTTAGACAAAGGTCCCCCCGTCTTTTCCCAAAGGGAAGAACCCCAATCTTTACCCTGATCCATGGAGGATAAGTAGCCCAGAAGTTGCGGCTGGCGGGCCAAATCCACTGTTGGCTTTACTTTAAAGCCACTAGCCAACATGCCGTACCTCTCTTTTGTGTGTGGGGGGAAGAGGGTTTCACATATTGGGCAGTGGCCTCGTAAAGTTCGGAGCAAAACCCAGAGTGGATCCATCATCCCCCTGCAACATCAGAGCTCCCTACTAGCATCCACGGTCCCGTCCCTGAAGTTCCTCCTACACTCCCACTGACATATCTGCAGCTCTCTATCTGGCGACCTGTCCCAGAGCTCTCTTTTCTTAACGGTGCTGTGCATGTCTGTGAATGCATTCCACATGTGTGTGTGTGCGTGCATGGATGAAACTCTGTCTAGTGGAGAAAAACAGGGCTACAACGTGCAGAATAACCACAGTGGTGGCCCACAAAAGGTCACCCTGGGCAGAGCACGAGCCACGCGTGGGTCCTTGGTGACTGCAGTGTGGCGATATTAAGAAGCGAGCGTGGCGCCTCCTTATTCGATGAGGAAAAAGCAAGCAGAGGCGGCAAGAGTCTCATGTTCTCGGCTTGCTCGTCTGCGCCAGCCATGTTCCTTGTTAAACCTCTTTCCAGGGAGGACTGGAAACAGCGCCGTGAAAGCTCCAGTTCCATAAAGGAGGGGTAGGTGGTGAAGCCATGCTCTGGGTTTTAGTCCAAACTTTACATAGTGCTGAAACCTGACCCCCCCCCCCCAATGCAGGTTCAGACTCTTGGAGAGCATTTTTATAATTCTGACTGGAAATAGATTCCTGACCCTTCCTGCCCCCCCCCCCAATGCAGATTCAGACTCTTGGAGAGCATCTTTATAATTCTGACCGGAAATAGATTCCTGACCCTTCCCTCCCATTACAAAACCAGCTTCCACAGGAACAGGGCTGTTGATTCCGGAGATAACCCATGTTTCCTATTCATGTCACCTATTCCTATGTTTTTATTGCTGTATTTCACCTTTCTCCCAACCTGGCTTGGTTTGCTCTGGGTACCTCCGTTCCTTCCAGACCTCTCTTCTATCTCACTAGAGATATAAACATATCTCAAGTGCTCTAGCTTCTGGTTGCCTCCTCAGGACATCGGTGTATCAACCCCTGTGATTTCGATCTCCCTCTGCCCCCCCTTTCAAACCTCCACTTGCCCAGCCCCCAGCAGAGACTTCTCCCCCATTCATCCTGCATCCTCCTCTAGCACTAATGCACGAGAGAAAAAAGAGAAGCGGTCCTTGCAAAAAAAAATGAGCGCATAGATGCACATCCACCACAACACAGCCTCCGTAGCACGCCTTAGCACCGGCCATGGCACACAGAGGGTTAAAGCGACACAGTCTGGTAATTTTTGGGGGGAAGAGAGGGAAAACACGCCCAATTTTTAGGCTCTCTGAGAGGAAAAAAGAAGAAAGAAAGAAGATTTGTGCAAAGCCTAACATTCGCTTTATCAAAACAATTTTATCTGTACTTTTTTCTTTTCTTTTATGCAGCTGCGACTCAAGACATGGGAACAAAAAGATAGACACTTTCTGTCAAAGCCTAGTAGCAGAACAGAAAATGACTATGTACAGAAATGCAGCAAGAGGCAGGTTAACACACACGAGTCAAGGATATGACGTCTTCCTAAACCCATCCCAATTTCGGCTGTGCTCCCTATTATCACCGTCTTCATCCTCGATTAGTGGAATTTGATAATTCATGGGTAGAAACCCTTATTTTATGCTATGCGCCAGGGCCACGTATTGGCAACGATCTGCCTTTGACCTTCAGCTACGAAACAAATCCCCAGAAAAATGTGTGTGAACCTGCCTCTGTAGATTGACTTTGAAAAAACCCCACAATTTCTCCCCAAAGCTTCACTTCAATCAAAACACAGTGGCTGGGTCAATCCAAAGAAGGAGCCAGGATTCAAGGTCAGTCCCTCAGTGCCAGAGTGTCTGAGAAGGGTATTTCCATGCACCTGAATTTTTGCTCCCGGTCGCACTGCTCCATGGGCTTTGTTGTCTTCAAGGTGGGATATATAAGCACCATGGGTTTTGTAGTCTTTAAGGCTGAATATGGGTGCTTCACTAAGGTTGCCTACACCAAGAGGCTACGTAATGTAATACCTTGGTTTATGAATTAAATATGTTCTCCTGGACATTTCGTTTTGCAAAAAAATTCGCAAACCAAAATGCGGTTTCCCACAGGAAGGCACGCACGGGGGCGGCGCTATAAACCTCCCAGGTGCAATGCATCCTGGAGAAACTTGCTTCGTATTGTGAAAAAAAAATTCGTAAAACGAGGCATTATTTTCAATGGATTTTCTTTCGCGAACCGAAAATCATATGTTCTCCTGGACATTTCGTTTTGCAAAAAAATTCGCAAACCAAAATGCGGTTTCCCACAGGAAGGCACGCACGGGGGCGGCGCTATAAACCTCCCAGGTGCAATGCATCCTGGAGAAACTTGCTTCGTATTGTGAAAAAAAAATTCGTAAAACGAGGCATTATTTTCAATGGATTTTCTTTTGTGAACCAAAAATCACGTTAACCGAGGCATTCATAAACCGAGGGAAGCGTGTATCTGTGGTCAGAGGGTATTGGGGCACACAAACCTGGCTGATGCTGATGGATTTTTATTATTATTATTTGCTACTAAACAAAGTGGCTAGGGGCTGGAAAGGAACAGAAAAAGCACAGGATGGGTAGCTCATATCTTTACAACTCATCAGTGTTTCCTTTTCGGTCTGTGGTGCCTATCGGCCTAGCTACCCAAAGGGGAAAACTTGGCACAAAAGATTTGCACGGAAGGGTTTTGTGAGGGGAAAACACACCAGTGGATGGATTTCAGTCTTGAGTCCTGGGTTCGAAGTGTGAGCTGCATCTCAGAGGTAGGACCCTCCAGCAATCTGTCTCGACCAAAATCTTCAGCCGTGGTAGGCCGCATGTTTTCCCCACACATCGCTCGGAAAACGTTGGTTAATAAAAGCATGGAAATGCCACTATCAAACATGTAATTAAGATTGCACTGAGGAGACCTCAAAAACGGCTCCCTCTTCTTTTTAATAACCCTGCCGTATATCTTCCCCGCGTCTCAACCCCATCACCTTTCGGAAACCTTCCTGATTCAAGGAGTTGGTTTCCCCGGACTTAAACGTCCACAGAAGCACCAATCGAGGAGTGAATACCAATTATACCACCCCCCGTCTTAAAAAAATAAATAAAAGATAATGGGAATGAGAATGCAATTCATAAATGACTTATTCTGGAATGATATTATAGAGGATTCTTTTGATCTCTTGAACCGACTGGGAGGTTTCCATCAAGTTTCAGGGTGTAAGACTAAGGGCTCTATCAAAAACAGTCACCACAGAACCTAGGAAATGATTTTTCTTCAAATTCTCATGTAGGGGGAAAAAGTCTGCTTTTTAAAAATTGGGAGGTTTCCAGAAAAAAATCTCAAACTCTCTCTCTCTCTCTTTCTCTGACTTGCACTGCATTATAGTTTATTCAGAATCACACTGCCTCATGGTTTGGGGAGTCTCTACGTTTCCTGCCTTGAGCAGGAGGGTTGGACTGGATGGCCTTAAGAGGACCCCCTTGCAACTCAATTATTCTATGGTTCTATGAAAAGTTGGACATGTGTCGAGTCCTATTCTTTCTGGTTTTGGAGGTAGATTCGTTGTAAACCTGTGGAAATAACCGAAAGTAAATCCATCCCTGAATTTTATTTTATTTTATTTTGGCTCACTTGGAGGTGGCCTTAGATCCTCATTCCGGGTCAAGACAAGGACAGAGAAAGAGGGGCAAAGTGATTCCGATCGGCCTTAACGGTTGACATCGTTGCGATTCTCTTTTTGGCTCGTCGACCTCACGGTCGGAGGCGGCAATGTTTTTGGTAAAGCCCTTTCTACCCCGGTGTAAACCCCCCACCCCTCACCCCCCGCCCCGAGGGTAAAAGTAAGAAATGAGTGTTCTACGCACCATCGGACTTACCCCGAAATTGGACGCTGCGAAGCGGTCAGAGGCAGACACATTGGTTGAGGCAGTAGTGTGAGCATAGTAAGCGTTGATGTTGGCTAGCAGGGTGCTCATGACCGCTGGAACTCCAGGACACATGTATTTCGAGGAGAGGCAGGCAAAGTGGCTGAGAGATGAGAACGAAAGGGGGACATTTCAGACCTCCCCTCCTTCCTGTTTCCGAGAACGGGGTGGCAATGGGTAGCCCTGCATCACTGACGTCTGGACTTCCCAGAGAGTGTTTCCCGCCCGGGAGGGCGAGATATCTAAGCAGCAGACTTCACGTTGCTTTGGTGGGGAAGAGAGATAGGGTGGCTAGGGTGCCATAGCCGGGCAAGAGAGCAAATCGAGAAAGTTCCTTCCTTCCTTCCTTCCTTTATTTATTTATTTTATTTATATCCCGCCAATCTGGTCAATTACGACCACTTCCTTCCTTTCTTCCCTCCC